CGTGACTCACAAGCGCTGCTGATGTCTTTGGTGAGACATTTTATAACTAGTTTACATTGCTTTGAGAACATTTAACCTCTACAACTGCTTTAAATTTAAGATTTACTTAATATACAACATGGAGTAAAATTCAGATAAGCCATAGAGTCCTGCTTGAATCTTCACTTTTGGTTGAAGGCACTATGTGCTATCAGAGAAAATTGAATGAATTCTAATTTTTACATCCAACCTCAGGTTTCTTCTTCATTAGATTGAGTTGAAATCTTGGTAATGGTTTGGGCAAAGTTTTTCTTTAAACCAAGTCTGATCTAAGACATCAGATTAAGCACTGTGCAGGTTCTTAAAAAATTACCACTGTGACAATAAAGTTCTAATAAATTAAATCATTTACTGCTTTACAAAGTATAGAAAGATTTTGAGTAAATTTAGCTCCCAGCAAACTACTAGATTTATTTTTGTAAAGTTTTATGTTAATGGTTAAATGGTGAATTGTGGCCTATACTCTTTTAATATAACACAGTCATATCTTTACAGTGAAAACAAGAAAGTTTAAAATTTTACATGTAATACTAAGAGTATTTTCAAAAATTTGATTTTCCATTGCAGTTGCCTATTAAACATTTCTTCGGGTAAATCCTGAAAGTAATTCTAACAATGTTTGATTTTCAGCTTTTGGAACAGACGTACAATGCCCTATGTTCATTGGTTACAGTCACGACTAGTTTCCTAGCCTAAGATAAATGCTATCATTGTTAAAAGTCAGAAGAAATGAAATAGGAAACTTTTTTTAAAAATTATGAACTACAAAATTATGGACAATGATGAATTAAAGGCATTTAATATTTGTAATTCATTCTAACTGTAGAAATGGCCCTAAAGCATGCTGCATAATTAATAATTTATATTTTCATTATTGTGAATGTTTATGTTAATGTCCTTGCATTAGATTGTATCAAATTTGTCACCATTTGATAGCAAAGTTTTGCTTTTCTGTTTTTCTTGTCTAGCTTCCCTAAAATCATCTCTAAAAGGGATAGAAAAATGTAATTAGAAGAGAATCAGATGTCTTTGTTCATACACATCATTTATTTTACCGATAATAGGTAGAGTTCATGTGCTGACCATATGGATACCTACAATTGAGATGATAGGTTACTATTTTGCCTTTAGTTCAAAATAATGTCACTGCATTCTGGGTAAGTTATAGCAAGGTCACATATTTGAAATCTCTGAACAGATGAAGCATATTTAAATATTATTAAAGTTCTGAGAAACAGGACGTGAGTGTTTCACACCTACGTTAATATACACATTTGGATGATGGTTTTCCTTGCTAACATATTAATGTTAATATTTTCATTTTTTAAGACATACTGTAATTTAAAATTAGCGTGAACATTTGTTGTAAATTCACTGAAAACTTAATGTTCAAATTCTCAGGAATTAAGTCCTAACCATATAACATTGTCAGTTCTAATTAAATTTTGTAAAAGATGGCAAGTTTGTTACTTGAGTCGGGGGGCCTCCCTCTTCCTCAATTCTAACAGACTATATAATATGTATAATAAAACATTAATAAATATAATTTCAAAAATTTACTTCCCCTGGATGTTTATGTTCAAAATTATTTTAAAACAGTATTTAACAATAACTTTTTTGGAATTCCCTTTAATCTTGCACATAGCAAGGAATTTCAAATATAAGATTGGCATTGGCTCCTTCCCCATGTGTCCCAAGAAAAAATCTTGTTTTCCTTCCTTTTTACCTTCTTGATCTTTTCCATTGCTTGCTATTTTCATATGAAAAGAACCTACATGAATAATTTAAAATCTTAATCCTGGGAACATTAGTTTGCAGTGTCTGATGTTAGAAATAACTGTGGTGCCATTTGCAAACATGCATTGACCTGAAACAATAGTAAAGAAGCGCTTTTCAGATTGGAGACCAGAGACACAGGCCTTTTAAATAACAGCAGAAATTGTTCTTGGTGAAGTCTGATGCTCCTTTTCTGAGGGAGTACATTTTTTAAGATTGTGGGAAAGATGAGATAATACCATCACATTCATTATCATGTTCCTCGTTCATGCTGGGTTGGCTAAGTGTTCAAAGGTAGACTTTAACCAATGTTAATAATTTTAGTTCTTTATTTACGTAAAGTTGCGGAAGTTTAAGAGTGATGGTATTTCTTCAGGAAGTGTTAATGCTACATTAAACAAAAAAAGAAAACAAAACCCAAAAGAAAAGGTTTTTGGATGTTAGGAATAACAGGTTATCAAAGATTTCAGTTAAAAGAGAAACCAGAGTAAGTGGAAATCTGAAGAGATTAAGTAAAGTCATCAGACTTTCGGTGAATTCAGAGATGGTGATGGCAGAGTTGGAGTTCAGTTTATATAAGAAGTTCTTACATATTGTATTATAATATAAAAAGTCTATAGGCAAGTTTATGGATATTCTGTTTTAATACGTTGGTTCTTTACCACCTTGTTTACTTGATAGTTCCAGTAGTTCCCATTAGTGGGCACATACTGAGAAAAGTAGATGAAATTTATCTTCCAGTCACTATAGATCTGATGTCATCATTCTGGGATCTTCAAGGACTCTACATTCTCTAAGACATGTAGGATCTGTGTGTGGTGAAACATTCCATAGTAATGCTCATTGTTAAAGTGAGGGAAAAGAGGTTAATACTTTTATACCCTGAAGCACTATCTATAACAAATTTTTAAAATTCACTTATTTAAGTGAAAAAAGAAACTAGAACCCCCTGGAACCACCAGTCTGTATCTATGAGCTGCTTGTTTTTTTTTTAACTTTTTTTTTTTTTAAGATTCCACATGTAAAAGAGGTTATACGGTACTTGTCTTTCTCTGACTTATTTCACCTGGCATAATGTCCTTCAGGCCCATCCATGTTGTTGGAAATGGCAAGACTTCTTCCTTTTTTTAATGGCTGAAGAATATTCACTGTGTTCGGTATGCCACAGTCTCTCTACCCATTCATCCATTGATGGACTTAGGTTGTTTCCATATCTTGGCTTTTGTAAACAGTGCTGTGGTGAACATGGGCATACAGCTACCTTTTTGAATTACTGTTTGTTTTCTGATAAGCACGCAGAAGTGGAATTGCTGGATTATATGGTAGTTCTGTTTTTAATTTTTTGAGGCATCTCCACACTGTTTCCATAGTGGCTGCACCAAATTACATGCCCTCCAACATTGCACCTTCTCCATATTCTCACCAACGCTTGTTTTTTTCTGTTGTTTTGGATGATACCTGTTCTAACAGGTTGAAATGCAGTTTTGATTTTCATTTCCCTGTTTGTTAATGATACAGAGCATCTTCTCATGTACCTGCTGCCCATTTCTTTGGATTTGTGTGATGATGCCCAGCCCACTGAGCTGTACCAGTCAGGGCAACTTGTTGCCCATTTCTTAATCAGGTTGTTTTACTATTGCTTATTAGTTGTATGGGTTCTTTATATATGTTTTGAGTATTAGCCCCTTAATAAAATAAGATTTGCAAATATTTTCTCCCATTCAATAGGTTGCCTTTTCATTTTGTTGGTGGATTCCTGTGCAGAATCATTTTAGTTTTATGTAGTATCTCCTGTTTATTTTTGCTTTTGTTGTTTTTGGTGTCAAGACTTTTAAAAATTTTTTTGAAGATTTTATTTATTTGTATTCAGAGAGGTGGAGGGAGGGAGAAAGAGAGAGAAGAGAAACACTGATATGTGAAACATTGATTGGTCACCTCTTGTTCACCCCCAAATGGGGACCTGGCCCGCAACTCAGGCATGTATCCCAACAGGGAATCGAACTGGCGACCTTTCTGTTCGCAGGTTGGTACTCAGTCCACTGAGCCACACTTGCCAGAGCAGATTTTTTAATATTTTTAGTTTTTTTTAAAGATTTATTTATTCATTCATTTGTTCAAGAGGAGGAGGGAGAGAAACATGGATCAGTTGCCTCTTGTACATGCCCCAGCTGAGAACCAAACCTGCCAACCAGGCAAGTACCCTGACTGGGAATGGAACTTGCTTTGTGGGATGATACCCAACCAGCTGAGCCATACTGGTCAAGGCTGGTGTCAGATTTTTAAAAAAACATCATCATGACCTTTGTCAAGGAGCTTACCCTGTGTTTTCTTCTAGGAGTTAACATGGTTTCATCTCTTTCATCCAAGTCTTTAATCCATTTTGAGTTAATTTTTGTGTGTGGTATAAGGTAGTAGTCCAGTTTTCCCAAGACCATTTACTGAAGAAACTGTCCTTTCCTCATTGTATGTTCTGGGTAGTAATTTTTTGTTGGTCATGCTTGCTAATATGCTCAGTTAACTTTGTGTTTTCATGGTCTCTAAGGTATTTTTGTGATTAGTTAGTTTTAATGTACTGAATTTCAGTATTTTTCTTACGCTTTGCATGCTTTGTGGCTTAGTTAAGCCACACAAAAGATTGGCTTTAGTTTCCAACAGTATTGTTTACAACTTGAGATTTCTTCCCCTCCCATCCTCAGCAGTTCTAAGCAAGTAAAAGAAATTCAGGGGGCTGTGGCTCTTGCAGCCTGCCTGGTCTGATATAATCATGATATATACAAAGTTGTAAGACGTTAGTTAACACTGAATAATTTTATGGTATATAACCTCATACTCAGAATAGCTCATTATATGTCTGATGGTGTACATATTACACAAGTAGACTTCTCAGATGGACCCTATATAACATACCTAATTTGGGGTTGCAAAAGTTTTTTTAATCCACCGTTTTAAAAGAAAAACCTTTTAAGAAGTTGGCATTGAGAGCTCATTCTCCTACCCATGTTGAATACAGGTATTTTTTTGACAGTTATCCCCCTTCCTGTGATTTCATTCTGCTCTAGTTTTTGGAAATCAACTGTTAAAGCTACAGAATCAACTTTAGTTTTCTTCCAGGGATGTTCTAGAAAATAACCACAAAAAAGCAAAAGAAAGAAACAAAGATTTTATTTGCTAGCATTTACTGCTAGGTTAATTTATTACAAAGACAATCACATTCTGTTGACCTTGGTTATAATTAAATACACTGTATCAATTCAAGATCACTGTACTTAATTCATCAGAGGGATCAGAGGGGTAGTGTCATCGGCAGGGGTGCCAGAGTGGAAATAGGAACTTTACACCAAGCCCCACCACCAGCTCTTCTTCAAGTGAGTTTTAAAGTTAATTGGTTCCTTCCTCGAGGAGGGTCTGGCTCAGAAGAAACAGGACCTGGCAGGACTGCACCCTGTCCAGGGAGATCCACTACTGAAACAATAAAATCTAAAGGACCATAAACTTCGGAATGCTGGTTCACTGAGGACCCACTGTAAAGTCAAACATCTTTTGTGCTATTCATCTGCTAGTCTTTTTTTATTGCATGATGCCTGGAACAATTATCAAAACTAGACTTGCATTTTTGCTAGTGCTAGGGCCTCGAAGCAGGACTCGTCACCTAACTGCACAAATTAATGCTATTAGGTCCAATTATGAGACAAGCTTGATTATAAATACACGATTTTCAGAATGACAGGCACTTAAAGCTTATTAAGTAAAATACAAAAATAGATTATATTAATAGGAAATATTTAGTGTTTATCAAATTGTAAATCTAGGCATTTGCTATTTTTAAAAAGATACTAGAAATAAAAGAGATGAAATTCAAATAAAGTGAACATTGCATTTTCTCATAACTCTCTGCTCACTGAACAATAACAATCTAAGAAAGGACTTACCACAAAGCACCTAAAATAACATTTGTAGATGGCTAGGAATGTTGTCAACCATTTCTTACTGTTTCCCTCCCAAGTCTCTGTACCAAGGCATTGATTGAGGGTACATTCCATGGCGATTGTCAGCGTTCTTAAACCAGGTTGAGTGCCTGTGTATCAGAGAAGTTGAAAACCCTTAAGGAAGTGGTTCGCCTTCCTGGGTGCTCTTCCCCCAAAGGCACAAGAGTTACGCTTCAGATTCTGCGCCTCTATTTTCACTTGGAATTCCGTCACTGTCATCTGGTTGATCGTTTAATAGTACATATTTTCCGTCATTGGTTAGTGGTATGGACAGCATTAACTGAGCCAATGCTTCTGGATCCTGAAGTTATGGGAGTTTAAGAAGGAGAAAAGAAAACGCTTAAAATGCACTTAAAACCCCTTTGGCTCAGCTTTCAGTATGTTCTGTCCTCTAGCCTCATTCCTTCTTGTCTGTCAGGTGAGTTGTCTCACTTCTCTGGGAAAAAACTCAATTGTGTTACTTCCAGAACCTAGGCATTGGTTCTCCTCTCAGCCACAATATCACTCCACACCCAGATCATAATCGTTCTCCCAGGGAGAGTCCGAAGAAGGACTTCCCTCACAACACACCTTTTGTGTCTTCTGTCTCTGTAAACGCTTGTCTTTTCTCTCTCAACCTGTATATGCGTTTGCAAACTATGGCCATTGGGCTCACCACTTGTTTTTGTAAATATTTTATTGGAACACAGCCACACCCATTTATGTCCATACGGCATCTGTGGCTGCTTTTGTGTTACAACAGTGGAGCTGCGTCACTGAGACAGCGACGAAAAGCCCAAAAGGGGCACCATCTGGCCCTCTGCAGAGAGGGTCCGCCAGCGCCTGCCCCAGGCTGAAACGCTGACTTGCAGTGCTGCTCCCTTCATGTATGTCCGTCTCAGTCCTTGGTCTGCACTAGAGGACTAGAACCACACTAATCCGGTCTTCACTAGCTACATGTTAGTATTCAAATTTAAGTTAAATTTAAAAATCCAGTTCCTCAGTCACACTAGCCACATTCAATCTGCATATTTTCCACTATAGCAGAAAGTCGTCCTGGACAATGCTGAACTCTATGGCAGCCCCCTCTCTACCTCAGGCCGGGACTGTATCTGTCTTGCTCAAGGCTTAATTCCAGGGTTTTTATTAAACAAACTTGGCTCTCAAAAACCTAGTGGGTGAATGGAAGAGTGTAAGCCGCTGAAAGACAGAGAGGTCTGACTCTTCCTTTCTAGTGAGTTTCTGGGTGACGTGTGCTAGGCCTGTGACCAGTCTGAGGAGCACGGCCTAGAAGCACACGGCAGAGGCTTGAGTTTGTGCCATCCTAATTTGAAAGGAAATCTAGGCGACAGCAAGCAAAAAAAGAAAGGAAGCAGGGACTACAGCAGCGATGTGTTTAAGAACTCCACATGGGTGACCAGTGACTGGGAACTAGCTGATTAAAAATGTGGCTGGATGCTTAGAGGACCTTACCTTTTGAACCTCAATGATTTCTTTCCCCAAATTAATAGCATAACATATCTGTAAAAGATAAGAAAACTGGTGTTTGGTAAAGGTAGAAAAGGATAAAGTATTTGTGGAAAAAAGGTCATTATGGAAGTACAATGAGGTCACTGCCCGCTCACGTCAACATGAGGACGTGGCTGTAGGAAACATCACATGGGGCTCTGAACACGAGCATCCACCTGTCCTGGCCCCCGTCGCCTGTTTGTGTCTATAAAAATACCCAGGCAGGCGGGGAGCGCAGCTACTCCAGCGTCTGACGTTCTCAGTGGGATGCTTGTCCCCTCTCTCTCGATGGCACTTAGCCACTGCCTGTTCATACACACACTGGCACACGGATCCTTGCTGAAAGGGGGGCTGATTAATTTTGATCACTTCTAAGCGAATGCAGTCATTCATACTTAAGAGAACAGTTTTGATGTATTTGATGTCTGCTTCCTTGGTTTGCTCTCTGAGATTAGATTTTCTGCTGTAACTTGTTTTGAGGAGAACTGCTTTCAGCATTTACTGATAGCTCTGCTAAACAATTACATCTCACCATTAAAGTTCATCATCATTCAATCTATTCTGGTTAACAAGTATTTCCCACAGGGAAGTTTTACTTCTAGGCAGTTCTCTTTCAGTGGGACCTTCCAAGGAGGTATCACTATCTAAACTCCCCAGTGGAGGCTTGCACAATAGTCAGCTCTATGTGGGACGGGGGTGGGAGGGGGGAGGGATGGTGCACAAAACCCCTTTAAACATCTCTTTTTGTACTGAGAATCTTAAGATGAAAAAAATTAGACCTTTTCGCCTTCGGAGTTGCTTTCAAAAACATATGTGCTCAGAGACTCTCCGCCTGTGGATTCGGGCAAGCGGACCACAAAGCCAACCAGTCTCTTGTTTTCTTGATGAGCAGCGAACTTGGTGACACTGTTAAGCTCAAACTGGAAGAAACAGGATTAGACTTAACATCACACAACACACTGAAATTAAACAACAGACATGGTCGTTCTCCACGGAAAAAGTCATGAAGAATGTGTATTAGTGACAGTCATTGAATTTGTGTTTAAGGTGGTTATGACAGTGAATGAAGGAATAACCACTGCAGTTGGTATGTACTTACATTGGCTCTGGATACTTGAGTCTGAGGATCTATTAACCTGAAATTTTAAGAAACGCTGTGTCACAAATGTTGGATAAACTTAGAAGAGTTTGTGGATCGTCTTTGCACTTTTTTTTTTTAAATACTGTTCTCTGATGCACTATGGCTTTTCAGTGCTCTTACATACATTTACTTTGATCTTTTTGGTGACAATTATGAGAACAGTAAGCCAGTGCCTATGAAAGATCCAGGACATACTTGGAGAAAAGCTGTATTATAAGGTTCTATTCATAAGAACCCAATTCTTAGTATAAGGTTTATAACGAACTGATTTTAATGAACGGAAGAAATGATATAGTTTCTGCCAAAGACCTGGTTAACTTTTTTGAAGCTAACATTTATTGAATGCTTTCTATGTGCCAGTCATGGTTGTAAATGTTTTACATGTATTAACTCACCTATTTCTCATGACAACACTAAGGGGTGTAGCTAGTTATTTTTTTCATTCTATAGCTGAAGAAACCAAGGCTGCTCAGGGGTTAAATAACTTGCCCAAGGTCATACAACTAGTACATGCAAAAGCCAGGAAGGGACCTAGACACATTGGCTCCAATGCCTTGTTGCTGTCCTATAGAAATAGAATGTACGCCTCAGACATAAATTTTCCTAGCAGCTACATTTAAAAAAAGTAAAACAGATGAAGTTAATGTAACATACTTAATAGACCTAAAGTATCAGCTAGACGTTATTAATATTAAGAATTATGAAGGCGATGTAGTTTGTATTCTTTTATCAGGGGCAGGAGGCGATCTCAGAATTTCCCATTTAGAACACATCTCCGCGGAGGCCGGCTGTGTGTCAGGCGCTGCCCGCAGCTGCAGTGCTGGACCGTGCGACTCTTGGTGGCGCCTCTGCTGGCGGTGGCCTGAGGGTGGTTTACCACAGATCTTGTTACCTGCACCTCCAAATCCTTTTAAATTGCTTGGCTTCTTGATTTTAAGCCCAATAAATATTGATCAGATTTTCCTTGTGGTGGTCGAGTTATCTCAGGCAGGCTCATATCCTGTATACATTGCTGTTCATTTTTATAAATAGAAATGACAAAAAAAATCCACCTTCCATTTTCAAGCTCTGAGACAGTAACTCTTGAGCGATGGCAACCTCATGAATGATAGGATTCACTCACCACTAAACTAAAGGTATCATTAAGGGAGCCTCTTCTATCCAACACATATTACAAAATCGAAATGTAAAAGGAATACAGCAGAAATAAAAGTAGCATCTTCACTTAATCCAATCGAATATCCTAGTCGTAGACACTCTAGGTGGGTATATGTGCCTTAAAATAGGAATCAGAAGAAGCTGTAAGAGCCTGGAAATGCAACAATGTACCTCAGAGTTTGACTGGTGACCATCAGATGGGATTCTGTCATACGGAAGATGTTATGAATAGCCCGTGCCGCCAATACTTGTCTCATCGCTTCGTAAATCACTTCGGTAGTGTGGTCTGTTTTAACTGCCATCGATCCCAAAAACCGGACTATGAACATCTGCTGCAAAAGGGAATCTGCAAGAGAGCATTTTCTGCTCAGGAGCACATTCACGTCCTGCCTGCTGCTGACCTGTACCCCGTGTCCTACATGACGGTGTGAGACCTAGGACCTCACTCAGGTTTGGTTGGCTTTCTACCCAGATCTCTCAATACTCTGCTTTTACAAATGCGCATGAACTGCCAAAGCTCTGAATCTGCTCTTGTCTGTGTTTTGTCCGTTTGGAACTACTTCCTTGGACTAGAAAAGCCCTGCTTTTAGCTGTACCAGATGAGCATTCTCCTGCCCTAACACTAGGTGGCTGCCCATAGGTGGCAGTATATGCATCATACCTGTCTTCTGGAAATAAAGAGTTTTTCCACTAGACAACAGAAAATTCATTACTTTGGCCCACTGATTAAGTCCTCTTATAAAAGAAGGCTTATTTGAAGAAAATAAGACTGCTGTTGGGTCTTATTTATGGTTGAAGGGCTGTGATATTGTATTCCATAAACTAATGGAAGTCCCAAACTAAGTTTGCTTATTTGATTCTGTTGAACTTCCTGTACTGGCTTCCTGATCATGCAATATAACCTGACAAACTGAATAAAAGCAACCAAACTGAAGATCATGAGGGAGTTTAAAAGATCTTTTTTTTTTTTTGTAAAAGTAATTCATATGCCTACCATTTTAAACTAAGCCTGTTGGCTCACTTGCCTTCCCATTTAGCATCCTGGCCCCCAAAAATAACCAGAGTTAAAAGCTTACTAGGAAAATATAATTGACCTAATGTCATGTATGGTTACTCCCGTATGAGGCATTTTTACAAGCTTGAAAGTTTTGTTTAGACTGTTCACCAACCGGACTGTGTGAAAAGTCAGCTAGACGTTAAGAGGAGAGTCAGATTTGAGGCAACAGTTTTGGAGTTTTTTTGCTTGAAGCTGTAAGGAGTGCCATTTCTCAAGTCCTACTTTTGCATGTAAATAAGTAGCATTTCATTCTAATGACAGTCTCAGCTGCAGTTGCGCAGCTGGGTTACAGCGCGGTCTTGCCAGCACTTGTCTTTGCTCGGGACTCATGTCCTGCTCTGGGGAGCAGGGAGTCGCGGTCAGCTCTGTTGAGTATGTTCTGATGAACATTAGAACGTGAATCGAACAGTAATACAATTGAAGCAAAGAACATTCATGTGATCTTCAAATTCAAGAATGAGTTATTTGTACTTTGGTTTTCTAAAATGAAATAGCACATTTATGACTCACCTGGGCTGCATTTTAAGGTGATCATTTTATGCCCTGAATTTGTTTTGTAACAGCGTGACACCAGATTTCAATTTGGCAACTTTCTAAGCAGGAGCTCTAAAAACGTGGCTACAGCCAGTGGTGCAACAGTTGTATGAAATCCGTCAGCTTCCCCTCAGTTTTTATCCAAGACCTAACTGCATGTGTCCTACTCAGTTTTCAGAGAACATGTCTGTGGGTCATAATTTCAATCCATATTTCAAGTCACTAGTCTCTAGAACATGATGTCACATCTTATTTCAATGGCCCTGTCATTTTGTGCAGGGGAAAGCAGCAGCACACCAAGCAAACCACTTACCTTCTGCTTCTGGGAATGTGTTATCCTCAGTCTCACCAAAAGGGTTGGTACGCCTAGAGGAATAGCCAGAGTCAAACAATCATGACATCTTCAGCTAAAAGGACGCTTAGCACTTGACCTCTAAGTCAGAATGCTGACAGTCGTTGGAGGTGGGTGGGGGACACACGAGATGTCAGGTTTATTTTCATTTCTTCCAGAGATGACCTCCCATAGCCCGTACCTGCTCCCTCGGTTCTGATCAAGGAATTCCGTCGCAGGAAGTACAATATCAAACTGAATGGGCGTTCCAGGTGCAATTAGTTCTTCCGTTTCAGGCACGCTGACTGTTGCTTTGGGAACAATCTTGTCATTTTGCGTCTCCGAACTTTCCAGGTTCTGGCTGGATTATAGCATAAGATAGGAGGGGAAAAACAAATCTCTTTTAATCTTTTGTCTTCACAATCAAATAAATACATGTTGAGTGCTGATAGAGACAAGGGAGAAGATTTCGATCAGGCCCTCAAACCATTCCACAAATAAATCTTCATAAAACGCCATTCATTCTTTGGTTGAAACACTTCAGATCATCCACTGCCTACAGGCAGCTCTGCTGCGCACTTCACACTCTTGTACTGCTTATCACTGGCAGCTGATTTTCTCTTTGTATGGGGTTGGTCAAAAAGTCTATTAAGCGTTTTCTGTACGATGGCTCTAGTAGTGCTTAGTTGTCTTCATTAGAAAATATATTGTAGACTATAGTAATATAGTAGACTATATTACTATAAAAACATAGTAGACTATATTATATAAAAATATAGTAGACTATATTGTGACAGCTGTCATATCAGCATGTTTAAAAAAAAAACATCAAAATTGGTGAATTTTTGTCCAGCCATTTTAATATTGAATATCGAAGAAGATATGCAACATTTTTGGTGTATTATGCTTTATTATTTCAAGAAAGGTAACAACCAACCAAAACAAAAAGATTTTTGCAGTGTATAGAGGAAGTGCTGTGACTGACTGAACACATCCCAGGTGGTTTGTGTAGTTTCTTGGTACTATTGACATTTTGGCCAAATAATTCTTTGCTGTGGGGCTGTGTCAGGCACTGGAAGATGTTTAGCAGCATCCCAGCCTCTACCCACACTAGAAGCCAATAGTGGGAGACAGCCGACATACTGAAAATATCCAAATCAGTAAAGTTATTGGTGAACATGAAAAATGTGTCTTCATGAAAAAAAAAATGTAACAGGCTTTTTGGCCAACCCAGTGTATTTCTCCCTGTGAGACAGGTTTTTCAGGACAGAGCCATAGTTAAATGATATTTATTACTTGGTACGCAGCAGGCAGTCAGAAAAGTTAGCTGAGTAAATAATATTTCCCGGCTTAGCACTCAGCCACAGCCTGGTCTCATCTCTCCCGAGAGCCTCTTCTCCGCTCCCTGCGCGCCCTCCTCTAGGGCTACACCAAGCACAGCACGTGCTCTTCCTCCTCTCCGTCCCCGTCCCAATCGCAGGGCTCACCCAGATCTCTCCTACTGCAAACACCAGTTCACATTCCTATTCACCCACTAGACCTTTCAGGCCAGGCTGACCCTCTCCCTCCTCTGCACTCCCGTGGTTCTTCTAAGGCACAGGGACAGTCTGGTCCCTCTGTGTGCCTCCCGGGCTACGCTGGTTCTGATGGTGCCACCCCGGTTCCCAAAGCCTTCAGTTCTGCTCCACTGCCGACGACTCCTAAGCAGGGCACCTAGTTCTGTCACAGTCAGACCCAAACCTACTTCCTGGCCTGATGTTCGTCTCCTCATCACGTGCCCAGAGCAGGGGGAACACTGGCTCCACACTGCGTGGCGCTGAGGCCCTGGGAGTCACTTGGCCGCCCTGAGCTTCCTGCCTCTTCTGGAGTCATGAGGTAGTACCCATAAAACACTTGGTGGGGTTCCTTCTACCCGGCCACTAGGAAATGGGTGCCAAACACAGCCAATTTTAATTCACCCCTTGGTGCCATGCCAAATCACATGGCTCTCTATTAAACCAAATGGCGACTCCCATTAAGGCAAAAAGATGGGATTCCTGGAACAAACCCGGAGGCAGGATTCAAAACGAGAGGACAGCTGCGTGCATGAAAATGCTCCCTGTAAATGGGAATGGCCAACAGTGGAAGAGACAGCGGCCTAAACATCCGGTGGCTAATAACAAGCGAGGGGACAGTGTGTAGCTATTAAAAAGAACATCAAAAATGTAAAAATAGGAAAAAGGAATGTGCAAAGAGACAAAATAAATGCACCTGTGAAAATATTACATGTGCAGATAAGGCCTGGATAGTAACATGGACACATAAAAGGTGATTTTGTGCCTTATTTAAAAAAAAAAAATGTTTTGCTTCCATAACTTTGTTGATGCTGCTAGAAAACGTGCCCCCCCCCCGGGCCCAGGGCCCCAGTGAGTCCTGCGTGCCCTGAAGGCCTGGACGCCTCAGCCGGGTCTGAATCCCGGCTCCGCCCTCGTCTGTGCCGTGAACGAGGCGAACACGTTTATCCTTCCTTGGCCGCTCCTGGCCAGTTGCTGCTTTTGTAGAACTGGGCTGCACACTACCCCAGTCCTTGTGAGGATGAAATGACAACTTGTGTCAAATTCCTAACACGCAGTTTGGCTCCACAAAAGCTAGCTTTCCTTTGTCCTTTAGTTACCTGGGGCACGGGCCTTCTTGTTTTTTTCTAAAACTTGTAATGGGAGTCACTGCTTGGAGAGCCGTCTCATTCAACTTGATGGCGACTGCCTAAAAATCCACAGCAAGACAGGCTTAGTCCCAGGAGGCAGACGCTTGGCTTTGAGATTGAGAAAAGGGTGAGGTGCAGGGAAGGCGGACGGCCATTACCTCGGGGTTGTCGGTCAGGTAGATCTGCCTGGAGATGTTGTTTATTGCACATATCCACTGTGGAGGACATGAAAAGAAACGGCTGAATCCCTGAGTCCCCACTACCCTGGGAAGGAAGTGAACCAAACAAAATCTTTACCTCTTCATTCTCCTTTCTGCTTTCTGCCTGGAGGATTATTCCCCTGAAATAAAGCGCATCTAAGTAAGTGCTCCCCAGGTCTCAGCGACTGAGGGTTATGCTACAAAAGCCGAACTCCACTGGGGTCCCGAAGGGAAAGGGCCAGGAAGGCAGCAAAATGGGAAGGAGAGAGAATGGGGTTATGGGTCTGGCTCTGCTTCTCACTGTCATCTGGACAAATACTTCCTTTCCCTGGGCCTCTGCTCTCATCTATAAAACGAGCAGGCCGGGCCCAGACCCACTGGCCCAGGTCTATTGTTCCTACAGTGTTGACCATCCCGCTGACCCCGCTCCGATGATCCAAGGCAACCGGGACGCCAGCCCAGCCGCCACTCCCAGCCCTGCCCAAAGAAGGAACTGCAGCCATTCCGCTCCGCCACGCATCACTCAGGGAGGACGATGCTCTGCTGGTCTGGGTGAGGAGACGGTCGCCACTGGACCAGCACCTCCTCGCCCTTCTGAACAAGCTAGTGTTCAAATCCCAGCTCGGAACCCCAACGGACAGCAAGTGCCAGCGGTGCGACTCTGGCTGCAGGACAGGGCCACTGCTCTCCCCCAGGCAGGTGAACCCCGAGCAACTCCCACCTCCTGGGGCTCTGAGCTGCAAATCCCTGCGCTGAGGGAGCGAGGCTCCCACTGAGGTGGGGTCGATGGTGAACGACTGCAAGGCTGCCGTTTTGAAAGCAGGACCCCTTCCGGGCCCTGATGTGTGGGGACAGCATGCTAAGGACCGACACTCCTGCAGCTGAACGTACTGCTCACATCTCCCATTTCAGCTGGAAAACCAACTCCTCAGGCCCGTCCTCCCTCATTGTCCCTGCCTCACCGAGATACAAACCCAAATGCTTTGTCTAGGAATGGGCGAGTGTGCCCACACCACTCTTATCGCTGTCTTATGTGTAGGTCATCTCTAAGCCACAGACAAATCCTCCCTGGGACTTCTTACATAAGGCGGGTTGCATCCCACACGCGTCACATGTGCTTGCTTCAAGAGAACGTGAAATCGTCTTCCCTGGAACCGGCCGCTCCCACGGAGGAAGGGGCTGGGAGGCCCTGGCAGGGGAGGGGTCGCTACTCTTGTTTTCCACCCACGTAAAACCCATGTGACATACGATTTCCCATTGGGACTGGTGATCTGGAAGCAGTAGCGTCGGTCTTCACAATCCACCGCCATCACGGAGCAGTTGTCCAGGTCCTGGATCAAACCTCCAGCCACGGCTCCCCTGGGCTGACACATGAGATTCCCGCCTTGGGTGAAGAAGTAAAGTCTCTCCCAGGTGGTGGTGACCAGCCCTGTTTTACTGTAAGGATTGTGTTTTAAAAAAGCCCATTAGTACAAGGAAGCATGAGGAGCACCTCAAAGTCTGCTGCCTCTCTATGCTGCCTGTCTATGGGCGTCTATGACATTTTAGAAAAAATAAGGCACAAAATCACCTTTTATGTGTCCATGTTACTATCCAGGCCTTATCCACACATGTATTTCTCTAAATTAAAGCAAAACTGCCTTGAAAATAATTCAAGTGCAAGAGCAGCGGAAAAGGCGTGACTGAGCTTGAAGGATCTGGGAGATACGGGCCTGGCTCACATGGGACCACTGGTCCCAGGGCCAACTCCACTAAGTGGGTGGGGGGTGCAGCCAGGCTGGCTTCTAAACCTGGTCTCCGGAAGGGAACTGGTCCGTCACCATTAACAGCCGAAACCTGGGAGATCTTTTACATGGAGCTGAACTGCTCAGTATCTACTTAGAGTCACCAGGGTCACCTCGGCCCACGGCTCACACCCCAGAATTCTGGGGGCTTTTACCAGATTCGGTTTTGCTCCAACTGGATGTTACTCTTACTTTGTGGGCTGTTTACAAGAGGAAAATCCAGTTCCTGGCAAAGAGCAGCAGGACCTTGTGGAGTTTTCTAACTGTACAGAACTAAAGGAGACACTTGGCTTGTGATCAAGATGCTCACAGACCTCTGAGGGGCTCTTCCTGGGTAAGAAAGCAGCTGGCAGTTCCTCTCCGCAGGCCCTCCGTTGGGGGGAGAGCAAACGCAATCACCTGATCCAGTACTTACTCACCAGCGACTACGTGTGAGGCACTAGGTTTCCTGCCTCGACGATTACAGTTTCCAAAAAAGAGCTAACATTTGAGTGCTTACTGCCTGTTGAAATACCTCAGTCAACCCTTGTACAAACTTTATGCAATAGGTGCAATGATCAGCTCCATTTTACAAATGAAGCGATCGAGGCCCCACTGACCCATGGCGTCTGTTACCAAAGTCAGAGTTTCCCCTGCACCTGACAACAGCCTCTCTCCGCTCCTAGTTGCAATTCAACCTCTCATTCCAAACGGACATTTAACGACCTGAGTGGTAAGTGTGTGACTCAGTCTAGATGAATGGAGATGACTGAAAGCTTCCGGGCCCTCAGCCTCTGCCTCGGCAGGCGGCCTCTTCCCGTCAGGGCCTGAGGGGCGAGGAGGGTGGAAGAATACCTCTCAGCGGTCCAGGGTGATGACAGTTAAGAGCAGTCTATCTACAAAAGGCCACAGTGGGCAGGGTCAGCGGTGGCCTGCGGTGTCTTGGAGTCTGCATGCTGGGTTCTTACTCCTAAGACTATTTCAAGCCCATCTCCTAGGGCATCTGGGACCTGGGATACAGGAGCTTCCTGGGTCCCAGGCGGGAGGGATGATGTGGTGGGAGTTCCTGCCCAGTCTCACCCCCCCACCCCCTCACGGGGCACTTCAACCGCTCTCAGGGGCGGGCACTGGCATCCTCACTTTCTAAGGTTAAGGTAGCCAGCCTTCTGGATGAGGTTCCTGTTGATCTGTGGTGCGGCCACGTCAAAGTCTGGGGTGTAAACAGATTCATCAACAGAGAGTAGTTCTTGCTGGGACACCCGCATCTGTTCTGCTTCAGCTTCCATCTCCGCCTGGACGCTTGAGACAGAAGGAGTCAGGTCAGTCACTCATCACAGGCCCACCCGGCACGGCGGGGCAGCAGATGGCAGAGCCGCCCCCACAGCCTCCTGCCTCACAAAGGGAGCCGCGGCAGCCGGAGATCAGAGACTCCAGGCTGCGTGACTCTAAGCATTTGCCCAACTGCTTTTTAAAGCAGAACATAAGGAATGCCACTGGACAATGCCTGAACCCAGCTAACCAGTGTCTCTGCTGACAGAGTGGGATCCACGTGCAGAACTCGTGCAAATTTTCAGAGGAGCCTCGATAAGCCAGCTCTCAGAAGGGGCACATGCAGCGGCCTGTGCAAGTGCCACAAAGGTGGAAAGGCAAGGGCAGCCACTCCTGCCCCGGCCCTGGTTTAGGCAGGTGCTGGGAGATGGCCCCTGGGCATGGGAAAATGACCAGGAGCGGTGAAGGTGCAACGACCACGCCAGGGCGACACTCTTCCCTTTAAGCAAGCCATACGACTGCCTCGCCTGGTGGTGGCAGGCTTGGTCCTAAAAGCCTGAACACAATCTGCCAACATGGCCCGTCCATCCGAGACAGCACACTTCAGAGGCATGTCTCACTTCTCCCCCGCGTTAAAGAGGAGACAGGATTACAAATGCAGTGTTCACAGCGGGAGCTCCTCAGGATTTTCTCAGCGGGGGCCTGTGGTGAAGTGTGGGCTTGCCTGCTGCACCTTCTCCTGTCAGAGACGCCCGCCGCCTGCTTCCTGTTTAATGCGGCGGGTGCGAGCAGTCGTCTGCGTGAGCTTTGGCTATTTTGACGTTTGAATGGAATGACTGGGGACTCCAGAACGGGCGGCCTCCGGACAGGCCAGCGGGAGAACAAACCTCATTAGCTACACCTGCTTGTCATTGCCAAGGCCAACAGAATGGAAAATGAGGAAAAAGGTTAAGCAGTACAAGAGAGGGAAGGAGGGCAGGAGCCAGAGGTTTACAAAACCACTTAGGTTCTTAAGCTTTTGTGGGTGATAAAACTCCTTGAGGACCCGATGAAAGGTAAGGATTTTCTTCCCCAGAAAAATGCTCAGGTGCACCAGCCATACAGAAAGACATAGTCCTATACCCCAGAAATCAAGAAGAGCACTCAAGGAAGCATGCGTCTTATTTCCCAATGGAATCCCCCCGGTGCCGGAGGCGCCAGGGGTCCCCTCCGGGCTCACTGCCACGGCGCTGATGACGGGCGGCACAGCGCGTCAGAGCAGCCACGGCACCACTTACGAGTGGGCAGCGCGGTCTGAAGCGGTGACGCATTCTTGAAAATGAGCAGCTGCAAGACTAAACTACAGTTTGTTCAACTGAGTCAGCAAAGGCTTAGTGCCCTGTGTGTCTGTTTGCAGTCAGTGGGGCGATCAGGGTGCCTGAGAAGGTGCAGCACCTCTGCCCGCTAACCCGTCAGCTCTCACAGGAAAAACGGGGCGCTCTCCTAACTCACCCACAGCAAGCCTGCTCCGGGCTCAGGCTTCTACCATGTGACACGTGAATATTAACAAAAGAAGACCCTAAGGACAGGAACTTGGACTTCATAGGAAAGGACCCGGTGGACATTTCAATCTTTTATTGAGATACAATCTTTAAATGTAGTGGATAGGACTCTGGGTTCCACACAAGGTAGGAACTGAGGAAATCACTGCTTTTTAACCACACTATTCACAGGTGTCGGCAGCTAAGAAGAAGGTGTTGTGTCTGAGTGCAGGGCGTGGACAGAACCCCCCGCCCCCCGCCGCACCCCCCAAAGGGGCCGAGTCAGCAGGAGAGCAAAGACAGGAAGCCCCAGACTGCAGCGCAGCATTACCTCTGAACCATGTCTGCGACGGAGGATAAAAAGCTGTCCATGCTTTGGGAAAACATCTCTGCTCCCTTCTTAAAGAAGTTAATCTGGAAGATAGAATTACAATAATCTGAAATAGTCCAGGAAAGGGGACTGATGAGTTCGTTGACATGAGACTGACGTGGGGGGGCAGCTGACCCTGGCTGGCCGGCCCCTCCTCGCCCGCAGCACTGGCGGCATCTCTCAGCCCCCATCCTGCCGGCGGAGTTACTCCCAATGCCCCAGTGCCTGTGTAGAACGGGGACGGTGAACCCTGCTATCTGGCCAGAGTACTAAAGAGCTCAGGAAATAAAAAAAGCTTGGCATATACCAGGTGTGTCAGTAATTACTATGGATGATTAATTTTGATATTATCATCAGCCTTTCCCTGCGTGAATTTTAGATAGTGTGTTTCTTGGGGGCGAGGATTAGGTCTTTTTCACCTTTGCATCTTTCGGGGCTAAATCAGTGTGTGACAAGTGACATGCACAGCACCAACACGAAGCAAACAAGCAGCATGAGGTAGTTCTCCGAGAGGTGAGAGCCGCCACCTGACTGGCCCTGTTCACTGAGCCACATGCAGCTCTGAACACAGGCTGGATGATGGTGACGTGGCTGCCAACTCCAGAGGGACAACTGGGCTGGAGACCCTTATAAGGCTCTTCGGACCCTGACATCAGCTGAAAGGGGACCGTGTATGAAAGGGACGCGGCAAGGCCCTGGCACTGCTTGGGGGCTCAGTGCAGGCGAGGGCCCCTCCTGCTCCCTGGCGTCCTGTGACCGACGCGCTCTCTGCCCGAGGGAGACTGGCCCGAGGAGACCTGGGGGCCACACGGTCTGAAATGAAACTGCAGCTGCTGGCTTTTTGCAAACGAACAGAAGGAATTCCTCACTTGCTGTGACTCCTGGGTATTCCCTCCCCAGAGGGGTTGGGTCCCCTGACAAGCCCTGGGGGGCGGGGTATGGGAGAGCGGGGAAGACGACCACCAGTGTGCCTCGCCGACATCTGCAACCGCCCTGCCCTGAAAAGCTCAACCTTTCATTGCTTTCTGTGGTTGGGCCTTTAAGAGCCTGACTATTGGTAGGAGCTGCTCCCTTTCACATGCCTGACTGTAGAGAGGTAACAGCTGCAAACCTGCGTCATGAAGGAGAGAAAATGTTCAGCTCGGACATGGGTGTTCTCTCGTGTCACTGAGCTGGTCTGTCTGATTTGGAAGCAGCCCCACCCCGGGTGATGGGCACAGACCTTGACCTCACACCCTGAGGAGGCCGGCAGGTGTTATCAGTACGATTCTGAGGCCTGGGAAGTACGGACACCCATATCCGGAGTTTTCACAGCACAAAAGCAGATGATGGCCAGGATTATCCTAACGCGAAGCAATACACACAGGGAGATGTTCTGGCCCCATGCCTTCTGAATCATACAGAGATGAACACGGAATCCTTGAGATGTTCAATATCAAAGTCTGTTCAATGAGCATGACGCATTTCTAAGGGTGCAACGTCATGGTGGCTTTTCCTCTCCTTTCCCTCCCTGAACAACTTGGAATTCATGTTCAAGTCCATGTCTTAGCTCCTTCATTGTTTGCTAAGTTCCTACGGCAGGGCTCACGTATTCCCTCAAAAGTCTGATGAGTGAGTGGGAGGAGGGAATGAGACACGGTCTTCTATAGCCACGACCCATACCACTCGCCCCATAAACACTACACCAGAGTCTGTCCGTGTGCTCTTGTAAACATGTACACAGATTACAAAACCCCCTTTGTGTGCAGGCCTGAGGACTGAATCATGATGCAAGGGAAAACTAACTAAGGCCAAGGAAGGCAGAAGTGGAGTCAAACAACCTCCACTAAGGTAGGCAATGAGGAAAAGTCTGATTTAGAGGAATGTCATCCAAAGACCAAAGTTCATGTCTTTGTGAGCAGTGGAAAGTACAATGGTCAAATGACCATCAGCTAACAAAGGTGATGCTCAATGAACGCTGATTTAAAGGGCTGCTTTGGGCCTTGGCCAAGTGGCGCAGTTGGCTGGAGCATCCTCCAATACACCACAAGGTCGCAGGTCTGATCCCCGGTCGGGGGGCATACCGGTGACAACCAATCCGTGCTCTCTCTCTTCAATGTTTCTGTCTCTCTCTTTCTCTCTCATTCTTCCTTCCCCTCTCCCTCTAAAAACGTCAATAAATATACTCTTGGGTAAGGATTAAAAAAAAAAAAATTAAAAGGGCTGCTTCAGAATCATCCAAAGATTCAGGTGGTTAAAGAACAACCCAGGCTAAGGATTACAAAGTCTCCTGGGTGAGGGGCTATGTGGTCTTCTGTCTTGAAAAATGGATGCTTTTCATATGAAAAATAAAATGTGCCGTCCTCAGCCCTCAACCACGACTGTGCCGCCGCCCGGCACGGCCGGTGTGCTCGGTTCTGCTTTCCCAGCACGGCCGCATCTGCGTGGCTGCACCTGCCGTCTCCTGTCCTCCCCTGTGGGGGGCAGCATGGGCTTAAAGTGCAGGCTACGGAGGTGGGGTGGACTCGGCCACCAACAGTGAAAGCAGCCGGTGCCCAGCCCATCCTTGAGAGCTCTCAGGCCCCTCCTCTAACTGACCAGGCTCCCACCGCTGTCTCAGGCCTGCAGCTGCGCATCTGGCTGCGAGTCCAAATTTGGGCCCCCCACCCCATGACCCTGAGTCTCTAATGAGCAGGGGTCACTGCTCCAGGGGCAGGGCCTGTCAGCCGGGGAGGGCAGTGTGACAGCAGGACTTCCTGAGAGAGCAGAGGGAGTGCTGGCGTTCTCTGACAGGCTGGGACAGCCACCAGGGCAGGGCTGTAACACCTCATGGAAAGAGGGGTGGGGGCAACAGAGAGGACACATGGGCGGGCACAAGCGCTATCGCGAGGAAGCTGGCCGGCTCCCAAGGGTAGGCGGAGGGCCGGAGCACACAGCTGGGCCGCGCTCGTTTTTGGCTTAACCCAGCTTTACTCCGACGACACAGAGAGGTTATATTGTTCTATTTAAATATCACCACTGAATGCGTAAGCTGGCTTTAGTGTCCCCATCATTCAAGAAAGTAACAACCATATTAAGATGACAGACAACTGAATTTTGATGTTCAAAAATCCTCTCTTGTTGCCCCTTTCCCTGAATGAAAGTGATACTGCCTATTTTAAAAAATATATGCATTTTCAAATGTATTATAAAAATAATAAGTGCTCATGTGTTTGTTTTCTTTCTTTTTAAATATTTGCTGACTTTGCCTTCTCAACATTTTGCTTTCTCACATCCCTTCCTGTCCCTAGATCGTCACCTGAGAGAAGGTTCCTGGGTGTGTTTCTCACAAGCCGGAGTGAAGTTTGGAGTCAGCGTAAGTGGGGATAAAGCAGGGCAGGGTGGCGGGTGAGGGCCGGGGCCCTCGCCTCACGTTCCCACTCACTCCACCCCTGCCAGGCCGGTGCCGCAGTCCAGGCCCCGTCCCACAGCTGGAGCCTCCCTGCAGCCCAATGTCCTGCAGACCATCACACAGCAGGGAGGAACCTAACACATACTTTACAGCGACTTCATCAAGCACTAGCAGCACGTCCCTGCGAGCCAAGTGCTGGCATTCACCTCAGCCATGTATCATCTGGGAGCAGGCAGCTGAGGGTGACCTCACCACACAGGGCGGCAGAAGACTGGGCGGAGTCCTAGCTGGCGAGCCTGGCTCTACAATCTGAACAGTCAGCTGCTTCTCAGACAATGGGACCAGGCCTGCCTGTCATCTGGATGAGAGACCAGGCCATGCTGGCTCCTCCCCACGGGAGGCACGGGATCAAGGCCATCATCTCCTGCACGGAGAGCCTAACAAATCCAGCTCATGCCGATCCAGCCCAGCTGGAAGCTCTCCAGTGCTGAATGTCGGAAAGTTTCCCGGGAGGCTGTGCACTTGTGCTTCTCCCTCTGACAGTGCTTCCATGTGTCTTCCGTGCTCCCTCAGCAGAATGCCATGCCGACTCCCCCACCCCGCCCCCAGCTGGCCTGGGTCTTACCTGTCCGTGGGCAAAGCCCAGCATGGGCTCCATCATGGCCACGCGCTTCCTGTGCTGCAGCGCGTTCAGGGCGCAGTAGTACTGCAGGGACGAAAGGTGCTGCTTCCGCCGGGCGGCCGCCACCTCTTTCACCACTTCAGTCTTCACCTGTTTGAGACGCGAAAGGAAAACTTCAAGTTGTCTAATGGACGTGGCAATTCTATAAGAGCAGGCAACTTCCAAGCATGTTCGTTTATACATCAGAACCACTTTTGTGACAAAGAGAATAAAACATAGATAAGGTTCTGCCTCATGTTTTTAAAAGTCCAAATTAAAAACACCAAAATCATAGCATCTCAGTGTTTGTGAGGCTGCACTGGGGTGAAGCCCATACCTTCTCCTGGCAGCACTAGAAAGTGCCACGGTCCTTTAGGAGAACAGTAGGCCAGTGCACTGAATGCCACAAAAGCTGTGGTTCACTTGTGAGATGGCATTCTAGGAAATCAGGTAACACAGATGGAAGTTATATGCCCGAAAATATTCAATACTATTCTTAGTAGTAAAAAAGCTAGGGAGCATGGGTTCAAAAATCAGAGTCAACACCCAGGGCGAGAAGTTCAGGTGCCTGGGTATGTATGAGTCAAGTGATCCCACCACACACCCAGCGTAAGTTAAAATCGTAGTGTGATTACACTTTTACAGTGGTTCCCAGTTGGTGTTTGAAAATCAGCTTTTAAAGATGGAATTGGGAAATGGAAAATCTTAAAACCCATGTATAGGAAAAAAAGAGGCGAAATTAATCAAGACACCCTTGAGCCCACAAACTCACAACAGGGAGATGCAAAAGGAGCTTTAAGTAAATGAGGAGAAAAATAACGTGTAAGGCAGGTATTCTTACCTTTTCATTCTCCTTTTTTTTAGGAAGCCTGCTATATTTTGCCATTGAGAGGTCATGCTCTAAAAGTAGAGAGGCATTTTAGCACCAGACAGGTTGAGCGGCAAGAACACGCACTCAGCGTCTCTGGCCACCGGCAGACTAAACTCACGCCCATCGCTAAACCCACACGCTGAGAACGCAGGGGGTGCCTACCACTGCTGGCGAGTCCGAAAAGATCCTTCAAAGTGCTCACTTCTGCGTAAGAGAAAAAGAAACATCTTAGAGCAAAGAAAAACAAAACAAGCCAACCCAGAGCTCTATGCCTTCCCAAGAAAACAAAGGTGTGCAGGGGATAGGGAAGGCGCTGCCAGCGCCTCTCGGCCCCCCTGCCCTCCCGGACCTGGCCTGGTGGCTGGGAACCCTCGCCTTGCTGGAGCTCGTGGCTGCAGCTGCACTCCACGCTCAGGGAGCCTGGCTGCCCACGGAGCCAGCTCTCCCCAGACAGCCTCTGAGTCAGTGACAGAGAGGGCGCTTAGGGACGAGGGCTGCAGTGTGTGGTGGCCAGGTACTATTCACGGAGACCAGGAGGAAGAATGTGAGCTCTGATTCTTCAGCCCCGAAGTGTTTTAGTTCATCTTTCCTCAGAATGCTCCCAACTACATCCAAATCCCAGGAATTTCCCATCACTGCCATTTTAACATCTGACAAAGGAATAGGGGGTGCTTGTTTTAACAAAAATACCGAGGCGATCTAGTGTGCTGTACTTGCAACGAGGCAACACCAGTAACTATTACTCCATGTGTGCATGATAGCCATCACACACAAAGCTGGCTAAACAAAGTCCAAGACCAAAAAAAGCCCCCAAAGATCAATGAGAGCAAGGAGTGTTCAAGGTTAAAAACTTAAAAACTCAGGTATCTAAAGTAAAGTGGTATTTTCTACTTTAAAACTCCCTATTTTTAGTTTGTTAAAGCAAAGCATTTTTACATGTTTTATATTGCTTTTCAATTTACCTCAAAACTGACTCCAGCTTTTCAATCTCTCTTCGTATTATTTTTACTCTTTTTCTGATACTGTGCTACTTTCTGACTTTCTCTTCTGGCATTTTTCCCTATTTCTCTCTCAACTTTTTACTTCCTATTGGAGCAGAGTTGTGACGTTTTTCCTTACCAATTTTAAATAAGCTTTCTCGATATTTCTTGTGTTGCCCTCACTCAGATCACGGACTGGTATTGTTGATAAGTGAAAACAGCAGCAAAATGCCACCCTGCTGCCTCGGGCGGGGGGACGCATCGGTCCTCAGGCTGCCTCAAGGGCAGCCCGCACCAGCACTTCACATCTGCCCTAGTGTCATCCGAAAAGGGCACGGTTAGCCTGTGGCCTCCTTCCGGTGAGCCAAGACCACCATGAGGATTCACTAAAGGTTAAAAGGAACTGCTCAAAAGAAAAGGCATGTCTCAGGGATCCACACATTTAAAGAAATTAATGCATACAAATTATTATTAAATGAATTAATACTTTGAAGGTAACGGGCACTGAATTCAGTTACTCTACCTGTGAGATCCTTTTCTCGAAACTGTACAATGGGTAGAACCATTGTGTTTGCCAACTGTTTAGCCAGCTCTGTATGGAGAACATTAAGCTGAAAGAAAGAGAAATGTGTTGAAGAAGATTACATCCACTATACTGACACTGTCTTATTTCACCAAGGAACCACGCTGAACACTTCTGAGTGGTTAAAGAGCTCGGTTACATTTCCTTAGCAAATAAATACCCTCATCAAGCAGTAAATGATAGAGGCCTAGAGGTATTAAGAACGAAATGTGAGCCCTGTTGGCTGGAGCATCGTCATGTGCATGAAAAGGGCGTGGGTTTGATTCCCAGTCAGGGCACATGCGCGCATTGTGGGTCTGACCCCCAGTTGGGGTGTGTGCAGGAGGCTGCTGATCAATGTCTCTCTCTCTCTCTCTCTCTCTCTCCTTCTTCCCTCTCTCTCTAAAATCAATAAACATACCCTCAGATGCGGTGTGGAAAAAAAAAACAAATGTGTCAAGTTGGCTAAAGGAGTCTGAATCCACAGTTATTGTTTGTTTACTGTGAGAAATCGGATTCAGTGTCCTCAGTCTAAGCCACACCCACCTGGGGAATGCCAACGCTGGCATGTGCCTGCAGTGTACGCAGCTTACCGAGTGCTCAGCACAAGCCACCACTCTCCCAGGCCACTGTGAGCTCTGTCACTGTCAAGAGGGCTGAAGTCACTCTTCAAAGGCAGGCAGGCCTGCTGGGAACCTACTAACCCTAAAACTGCAGCCAGCTGCGGGCCTGGGAATCACTCTCTGGAGAGAGGGAGCGCGCCACTCACACAACTCAGCCAGACTCCAAGCCTCTGCTCTTTAGAAATGAATCTTTCTAAGAACAACAAGCCCATGCAAAAGTGATCCTCCACACAGATCATTTTAACAGCTCCTGGTTCTTTCTGCCTTTCTACCTCAAGGCCTTACTAAACCCTGTCATTGTCAGTGGTCAAGGGAAAATAAAAATGGTCTCCATCAGCACTACCATCTGGAGCATTTTGTAACACAGCTTCGCGTGCTTGATACCATTTAGCTCCTACCTGCTCTGTGAGTTGGGTACTATTTATTATCCCCCTTTTACCAACAGGCAAGTAAGGCTCCCAGTCCGGAGAGCACATAAGTGGGACGACTGGGATTTTAATCCTGGGCTATTGGGATCCACGAGCCACGTTCCTCCCTCTCCACTGTCTGAGTCAGAGTTTATCTTCCGCAACCTCAAAGCTGCCGGAACTCCAAATGTTTGGCTGTCCAGACGCCGGCCATGAACATAGAGGAAAGAATTCTTCCCCAGGGCCCCAGACTTTCCGAGATCATGGAGGATGTTCCGGGGTTCCTGCTGGGTGAATAGGGGGATCACCCAGCAGGCGTTTTCTGAAGTAAACACATGGCAAAGTTCCTTTCAGCAGCGATGGCAGTAACACATGTGCCCCTTCTGCACAGAGATCCCCCCCCCCCCGCCGGTACGACTGGTCCTTCAGGGCGGTGCCTGCAGAGGCTGCTTTGATAAACTTGCCTAAGGTCAACAATTTGCCAGGCAAGGAGCTGGAGGCCAAGCCGGCCCCATTCCCCCTGTCTTTCAGTAAAGCTGAGGCATGGCAGCCTTACTCAGCTGGGAACGCACGAGGACAGTCATGCCAACAAATTAGCCATCAGAATAGAATGCGTTAGTGGTTGTCCCCGAATAACTTCAATAAGAAATGTACTGTTTTTTACTAACACTTAATTGATGAAAGTCAGCAAATATACCTACTATGTATGTAAAGATTAAGTGAGCTCTGTGCTCAATGATGATATACATTCTTTCACTTAATCTTTATAATAACCCAATTAAGCAGGCTTTCCACTGCTGCCATTTGCTGGTGAAGAAACCACAACTCAGGAAGATTAAGTGGCTTTCCAATGATTATTCACTTCAGGAATGGCAATTTCCTAGATACTCATTCTCTTCCTCATTTCTTCAGGTTCAAAGGGTGTGTGTCATCAGCTTTGTGCTTTGGGGCTTTTGAGAGGTATGGGACAACCGTTTCGAAAAACAGTGCCTTCACGGAGCAAGGCGGACAGGGCATGGACTGCCTCTTGGCACTTCAGCAGCGTCCAACAGAAAAAGGGGACAACACCTTCTTCCTTGCGTGGCTACTGCGATAAAGCAATAACACGGAGAGAACACACTCAGAGCAGAGCTGAGGGCCTGACGCCCGCTCGGCAAACGGGACCCGTAATTATAATGACCTCCTGTCCCAGGCGCACTGCAAGGAAGCGACCTAGACACCCTGCTTCTGGGGAGACCACCAAGGACAACGACCTCCACACGCCTATTACCCAGGAGACCTGCTTCCAAGGCACTCTATTAAATATATGCTGCACAAACCTGAACTTTTAGTTGGAGTTTTCTTGAACTACTCAGTCACATTACTTGTCTTAGGAATTTTTTAACCTGGGGTCGGCCCAGCTAGAGAAAATAACCTCAAGAACTAGTCTTCTCTTCCTCCATGAGCTCGCAGCTTTTACTCACAGTCGTTACATAGAAGGAAACTTCCAGGCTCCATGACACCACTCACACCCTCGCTCTTCCAGGCCTCTGTCCTTTGGGGACGCCTCACTCTCCACGAAGCTAACAGTCACTCCGGCCCATGAAAATATGGTTGTGATAAATATCTTAAACTGGGGATCTTGGTTCCGGGGCTTTGACAACTACCCCTATTTCCTTAGCCACTCTCTTCTAGTCAGGAAAACACACGCCTTCAGCAGGTGCTGTCTTTGCTTCTCCCCCTGGGTTATCTATTCACTGTTAATTAATAAACATTCTTCTCCACATTTTCCAAAAGAATTACTTTTTTGCTCCTCTCTAATTACATTTTCCATCCATTTTAACACATATTTTGAAGGAAGTCACAGCAGTGGCATAGAGGACAAAACTCCAAAAGAACCAATCGACGTGTCTGTTACATCACCACTGCCCAGAACAGCATCTGCTAAACAGCAGGTGGGCAGTCATGCTTGTTGAATGAATAACGACTTTTTGGACTAATTTCCTGAATGAATGAAAATGCCATCAGTACAATTTTATAGGAATATTAATTTCTTGTTTTATAAACTAAAGACAGTGTCTACTTCATATGAAGGATTCAACAGTTAAGTGGCACCTGCATATTCTCCTTTTTGCTTATTCTTTATCTTGATTTTCTATGACAAGCTTGCAAACTCCCTGAGATAGGAAACAGTTTATTCCTACCTAAGTTTGCAGAGGGATCTGCCCAGCATCAGTTGCATCTGAGCTCTCTTTTTACAATTAAGATTTATGTACTCCATTCCTACAATAATAGCTGTTTTCTACAAATCTTCCAAGTGTAATATACAATACAGCTACAAGAGCAGTTGTATGAAACCCTTTGGAGTAGGCTGAATCGTGCCTCTTGCCCCACCACAAAAAAAATATCCACACAGAACTAGTAAATATTTGAGAAATGGTCTTTTAAGAGGTAATGAAGGATCTTGAAACAGGGTCATCCTGGGCTATGCAATGACAAGTCTCTTTATAAGAAGAGAGGACACAGACAGGAGAGAAAAAGCATGGGGGTGAGGTGACGTCGGGGGACAAGGCCGTGTGAAGCCAGGGGCGGGGACTGGAATGATGCAGTCACAAGCCGAGGGACATGTGGAGCCAGCAGAAGCCAGAGGAGGCCAGGAGGGATCTTCCCCGGGGAACCTTCAGAGGGAGCATGGCCCTGCCGAGGCCTTGACGTCACACTTCTGGCTTCTAGAACTGTGAGGGAATGAACTTCTAATGTTTTAAGCCACCTACTTGTAATTTATTACAGCAGCCTTGAGAGATGATTACTTCCTCCTTAGGAAACTAAATTCTTGGAAATCTTTCTTTTGGTCTATTGTTTGTATATGCCAAAGCCCTTCCCCTCAAACCAGGAACAAACATGACAGTATACAGCCTCCCTGATGAGGCAAACCTTCAACTGTCAACAGGTTGAGATAAAGTCTCAGATATTTAAGTAGATACCTAAAAATGGAAAGTAGACCAACGTAAAAACGAAAAGACAGTTCAAAAACAGAATCAAAAAAAAGTTTTACCATATTGCCATCTTACCTCATCCACCACTTTGGAAAAATAGTGAAGCGTAGAAATTACTTCTTCATCACCTTTGCCAAGAGCAAAATTCTAAAACCAAAGAACAGAAGAGCCAGGTGTTGACCGAACGCTGGGAATTCGGCACCACAGCATCACCCCACAGCACACACTCTCTGCACCGGCTTCCTTTCTTCCCCACTTCAGAGCGTCTGATGGCAGAACAAGCCTTGTTCTGCCCCCACAAGGCACACGACCGCCCCTCCCGAACTGCTCCTCCGTTGGCCATCACCTTTCTGCTCAGACATCGTGGTATATCTTTGAGTTTACTTCCTGGAGTTGTTAGTGTCAGTTCACCTGTAGTCCCTCAGTGACTATGAACCCTCCCTCAAGGGCAGCTCATGACTCCTGTAGGCTAATATGACTACAGCATACAGACTTTGAGATAACCACCAGTTAGCCTTTATCAGGGGAAAGAAAAAGGAAAGAAAAAAGAAAAAAATGGACTATGGAAAAAAGAGAGGGAGAGCGGGCAGGAGGGAGGATGGAAGGTCTCTAAAGAATGCCTTTGGAGAATTTCTTTTAAACAACTCCAGCTAAGAAAGCCCTGGGCACTGCATCATATGCCTCATAACTATCAAGTTACCTGTTTTTCATATGCCAGGAGTTGCTTAGAAAGCTGCTGAGTGGCCAGGCACATTTCATTCTGCGTGGAGAAGAGAAACGCAAGTAAGACTTTGTCCACTGCACACAGTTGCTGAAAAATGGCACCTCAGAGAATTTCTTAAAAATACGTCTGCGTAAAATGATCATTTTGTTCAGAAATTATTTGGAAAAACAAAATCAAAGGTTAAAGCTTGCCCCCACCCCCCACACCACTTACAAATGACTGCCCCTTCTGGTTTTTGAGCTAATAAACAAATGTAGTGATCAATTATAACACGATCAACAAAGACGTGGTCCCTGTCCTCCTGGGGCTTACAGAGGAAGCAGATATCAAAAAACAGTTACCAGCAAAATGAGGACCGCAAAGGAAACACTGCCTGCAGTAGGGGTTCTGAGAGGACGACCCAGAGGGTCTCTACGGAAGAGATATTTAAGCAGATCCCGAAGAAAGATTAAAAGTTCGCCCTGGGAACAGCTTTCCGGACGGAGGGACCAACACGTGGGCAAAGCGCACGGCCTGGTGGAGGAGCTATAGCGCGGGGCGCAATGGGGACAAGGGGCGCAGGGCACGGTGGTGGGACGGGGCTGCCAGGGCCGCCAGAGCGAGGGCACGCAGGACTCGGTGGCCCAGGTATAGACTTTATTCTAAGCGCAGCGGGAACTGAAGCAGCACCAGGCCGTGATCAGGCTGTACCAAACTCCGAGCGCGGCCTGGGTAATGATGGATGTAACACAGAAGCAGAGCTGCCTGCGTGGGGAAGCCCACTTTGTGCCCGTTTTCACCAGCCAATACTGTCCCTTTTCCTCTTCTCCTTCCCACCCCTCTAGTCTCCGGCTGCGCAGCCATTTTCTACAGCTACCCACCCCCACCCTGACCCCCATCAATGCACCCAGCCTAGAAAATGTGTCTTCTGTTTCCAAAGCTCAGCGGAAGCTTCTCTTCAGATTCAGGGCTTATTCCTGACAGCAGGGCAGAGCCACCAGGTCTGACCGGGAGCAGATGGGGGCAGGGCGCTGGCCTGCCTCGGCCTTGGCCTCGGCCGTGGCCTCCACTTACTTTCTAACTCTCCTGGGTTTGCTGTTCCTTTGAGAAAGGACTGAGCTCCCCAGGGACTTGTTTTATTCTTCATGGTCCTCCTTTGCCAGACCCAGTAGCGCCTAATCCAACTTTTTAGGACCCTCTCCACAGACCCTTCCCCTGGTTTCCTTCATCCGCCCCAAGGACAGGCATTAAGAGACCCTGAAACGTGGCTCTCTCCCTTTTTCCCAGAATAGAGTCAGGCGAGTGTAATACACATTCCAGGCGTCGGCACCGTCTGGGGTGCCGCCCCTTTCGCAGCTGGCCAGAGCTGGCGGCCGAGAGGGAGGCAAGTGGGCAAGTCCACCAGCACTGCCAGGCACCCAGGCACGGACGGGCCGTGCTCCCCGGCACACAGCAGGCACCCGACAAATGCTGGATGAACGACTGGACGAACAAGGTCAGAAGATTCATCTAAATTCCAAGTTTAAAACAATCCCCGGGATCGTGGTGTGAGGAGAAAAATACCGCCTAATCCTACAAGGAAACATCACAAATGGCGGCGGGGGTGGGGGGTGCGGAATACAATGCAAGGACTGGACAGGGATGAAGCAAGAGCCAGGACGCAGCCCGCTGTCATCTTCAGCAGTGCTGTTTTGAGGCTCAGAGTGCGTGGGAACCGGAGTCTTAGCCCACCCACTGGGCTACCTCTCAGCTACACCAGCAGCTTTACTCCTCTGAGTTATCAGCACTGGGATTAAGGTGGATCTGTTCAAGCTCCCTGGGCATGTGCCTGGGGCAGCACCATGCAGACTATGCTCTGCAGACCCACAGGATCCCCCCCACTCCCCACAATAGCAGCAAAGATCTACAGAGCACTCAGTTCATGCCAGAGGCCACAGAGTGCATTCCAGCACTATCTCGTTTAATTCTGACAGCCCTGTAAGGCAGGTTCTAAGTATTAACTCAGTTTTACAGATGAAAAAGCTGAGGCACAGAGAGGTTAAGCCGCTTGCCCAAGGTCGCCCAGCTAGTCAGCAGCTGGGCTGAGACGCGAAACCAAGTCTGATTCTAAAATCCACAATCTTAAACGCCACTCTCTAAGATCCCAAGTCCTGCCGAGAGACCGTTGAGAAGGTCTCTGCTGTAGACTGGAGTTGACAAACCTTTCCTGTCAAGGGACAAACAGTCTTTACTCTTGGCTTGTGAGATACATGGTCTCTGTCACAACTGCTCGACTCTGCTGCTGTAGCATGAAAGCAGCCTTGAACAACCTATAAGCGAATGAGCGTAACTTCATTCCAATAAAACTTTATTTACAAAAACAAGTGGCCAGCCCGAGGGCAGGATAACGCTGATCCTGCTTTAGACAGTAACTATTTCAGAAGAGCCACTTTTCTGCCACGGTTCCCTCAGGAGGTGCTCTATTAAGCTACAATATTTCATATTCAAGGAACGTTTTCTACTCTTCGAATTCATTCTTTTTTATTTTTTAACGTAGGTTAAGTCTAAAATATTGCTCCACATTCTCTGTAGCCTTCAAGGACTGGCCAACAGATGTGATAACCATCCTCCCTGCCTTCAAAACAAGCAAGGGCCACAGGCTGCCTGAAGTCTCCTCCTCTCTAGAGGTAACTGGCCAGCGCTCCACATGCAATGGAAAACTGGCCAGGGAGCTGCCAGCATCTCGCTGCACCAGGCTAAAGCAGAGGGCATGTGTCTGCCGCTCACACAACCCACTGAGGCGCAGGGAAGAAGGCCGCACAACACACAGCAGCTGCTTTCCAAACTGCTCTGTACAACGGACGCTGCCGCGCCTCTCCTAGGAATCCCGGACGAGAACACTGTGTACATTCCATGTGTGTGTGATTCCAGGCAGCAAGGTTCTGTTCTCCCAGCATGATTTCACTGGGAACAAACCAGAAGTAAAAAAATGGCCTGCCACCTGTCCTGAAAAGAAACGCACCTTTCCTGTACAGAGCACAGCACAAGAAAAGTCTTTGAACTAGACCAACTGAAATCTGACTCAACGTAAGGTACTGCATGCAAAGGTTTTATGAACTGCTTTACCAACACCAGCTAATTAATCCACACCCTCTCAGGTAGCTCTGCACAATTATCTCTGCAACAAGACTTGCAAAACTGGAGCTTGAGTAAAGAGTAAACATTAGTAATCACAACCATAAAAATAGCCGCTGCCATTTATTGAGTCCCTCCTAGTGCTCGACACTGCTATTACGGGTTTTTCATATATTATCACATTTAATCCTTACCATGCACCTAGGAGTTAGGGATTACCAGAAAGGATGATGACTTTCTAAAATCACACAATTTGTAACTGGCAAGGCAAAGACTCAATTCAGATCTGGCAGACTCGCGATCTGAAGCTCCAGTTCTTAACACCGTGCCATTCCGGGCCAAAGCCCCCAGCTGTGTCTAGTTAGCCCTCCGGGGCCAGGCCCCATTGGGTCGATGGTAGGAAGGTAAGCCCCATACTTTTGCTGTGGTCCAGCAAAAGTGGTGGCCTGAAGCTTAGATTCATAGTGGGTTTCCGTGGACAAGCTTCCTTGGCCACTCTGGAATAGCTCTCTGGTTGCTGTCTACGCTACTGGATGACTCCTCAGAATCCTTTAAAAAGATGACCCAATGAGGGGTCTCCTCGCAGGCTCTCCCAGGTCACACAGAACCTTCCGAGGCTGTCGCCATGGCAGGAGGGCCAGTGGTTAGCAAACCTGAAAGGGAAACTGAGGTTTTGGCAAAGGAATGTTTCTCTTACGGTGGCACAGAGCGCTCCTAACCACAAATGTCACCTGAAACCCCTGCAGACGCCACCATCCAGGGAGAGTGTGAATGGGGAGTCTGGGGGGGGCGGCCGGGGAAACCCACTCGAGTCACGTTGCGATTTGCTTTTGCTTTGAGCTATACCAAGTATTCGCCCGAACTGCTCCCTAGATCCAAGTGGCTGAGAGTCACATCTACCAGTGTTTACCACACATCTGGGGTCATGGGTCGCTCTGGTTCAGGAGACCTCGAGGTGGGAGGCACATGGGGAGGAGGGAGGAGTGCGGCGGGAACGGAGGTAGAGCGCTGAGTTGGGGGCAGCCATGGTTCCTGCGGCAGCAGGGAAGCCCTGAGGGGCTTGGGCAAAGGGAGACAAGATGAGACGTGAGCTGAAGGAAAGGCATGACTGGCTGTGGTGGTGAAGAAACACTGAAAGGAGACAATGGCATGAGGGTCAGGAGACACTGGAAGAAGTCAAGCGAGAGACAGAAACGGGCCTGAGCCCGAACCACCAAGTGGGGAAGGTGGCAGAGATCTGCGGGGTGTTCCTGGGGCAAAAACAACAGCGTGTTCTAAGTGGGGAAGGAGGAGGAGCCTAAGAAAACTGGGCTCTAGCCTGGATGATGGATGGATGACAATGCCCCTTGCCAAGGACCCGAGGTGGGGACAGGTTTGGGGCCAGGCATGGTGCTGGGCATTGGACGCAAAGAGAATCTGCTCTCTGGGAGCTCGCAGGCCGCAGGGGGACAAGGAAAGCCCACTCGCTGCACCTGAAGTGCGCCGGCTGACAAGTGCACTCTGGCCAGGAAGGGAGGCAAGTTAGAAAGAAAAGGTGTCAGATACGTCTCAGACTTCAGGTCAGTCTTAAAAGCCGGGAAGACCATTTGCCAGGGGAGGGTTGATGGGGCTGCCTGGCAGTAGGAACAGCACAGCAAAGCCTTGAGATGTGTAGAGGGCCCGACACATTCTAGAACAGCCAAAGGGGAGGCTGACACTCAGTGCATGAAGAGCTTTGAACTCCTCACTGAGTTTAACATCTGCCGCAGTTACAGGCAACCACCTAAGCACCTGGAGCCAGCGAGGGAAGGGACGTTTGGACGGGATAAATTCAGCAGTTGGGTAGAGGAGTGGCTTCAGGGAGGTGAAAGACACCTCCCTGAAGATGGTAAGGCTGTTTGGGTCCACGCTGCAATAGCCCAGGAAAGAATATATGTACAGTTGCACCTCTTCAGACACTATGGAGGTTCTTATTTAGCCAGTAGTTTGAAACACAGCAGATCTAAGTAACTTGTCTCTGCTTTGTGAATGCCTGAGAAATGTGCACAGCTCCCACCTTTCAGATGACCTACAATGGAGTACTCCGTTTCCACCTGTGCAAAGGCGCGTCTGACAGTGAAGAAAAGACCGGGCATGACTCCAGGGACCGCGTCTAAGTGCTGAAGGCGGCTTACAGGCTACAGCTTCGTTCTAGCACTTCAGCCAAATAAAATTTAAGATCTCTCCGACAATCAGCAAAACTGCTCACAAAACTTTCCTCTAGCTTTTCTTGCCCTTCCCCTTCATAAGACTGATGTATGAAGGGCATTTGCTATCTCAGGATACAGAAATGTACCACGTCGCCTGATTAAAGTACCTTTTATGAACACGTATCATTGATCAGCAGTGTAAACCTGGTTTTTAAAATATAATGAAAAATTACATCTTGCTAAGTACCTGCTTTCAAAAATAAAATTATAAAACAGTATTAATCTAATTCAACAGAGCCAGGTAAAAAATATTTCAGAAACAATGTTTCTCTAAGTTATATTTAGGGAAACATAGCAGAATGAAGACATTGAGAAACAGAAACATACATATACCAATCAAAGGGAAGTTAGAAAGGTTTCCTTTTTAAAATTAAATTAAGCCTTTAATAAACCTGAGACACCCACCGGCCCCGACCAGCTGATCGGAATGCCACTGACCCCTGTGTGAGGCTGTCACCGAGGCCGGCGGCACTGACCAGATGTTCCCGTCAGCCTCCGCTGCAGGAAATGCCGAGGCAGGAGGAAGGCTTTCTGGCCGGGAGGAGAGCCCATGTGATGATCATCTGGTGTGAATTAAAAGCCAAGTTACAGCCTCTTGAAATGCAAGACCCACTTAACTTTGGCAAAACGTAGTTTTCTGGCTCAAAAGACAAAACGCGGAAGAAAGTGCTTGAACATCAAGTAAACGATTCTGACAGATAAGGAAAGGTAGAGGAGAGACTCTTGGGAGTAGCAGAGGCTCAGTCCCTGAAGTCTTGGGGCTCTGACACAATACTTTAAACAGAAAAACAAATCATTTAATGACGGTACTTAAATTACTGAATAGCAAGCAAGTTCAGGTACAAGCCCAGTAAAAACATCTTATTTCTTACATTTTGAATATTTAGGGGAAAATACAAAACACACAATATAAATAAACAGGGCTTAAAAAAATCGACAAAGTATGTCCCCAGGTTCTGAAAGTCTTACCAACAAACACGCAAAATTACAAATGAGCACAGTTCATTTGGTCATTAAAATTAGTTCCAATTCATAAGCTACACGCGTAATACAGTAAAGTCTGCAATTCTGTAGCTCTGGCCTAACCTCTGGCTACGAACCTTCAGCAAGATCTCTCTCCCCACTTGGCTGTCGCACGGACATCTCGAAATCAGCCTTTCAGGAGAGCGCTGCTGCCGTCCCAACCAGTACACACACACCCTCCTCCTCTTCCTGTGTCCTCTCAACCATCCACAGCAGATATTCAGGTCAAAGGCCTGGGCTTCCCTCAGTCTTCCTCTTCCCACCAGATCCCTTCTCTTCCTCCTAGTCACTGATCCGCCTCCCACACACCTCTGAAACTCATGCACTTCTTTCCATCTCTACTGCTGCTCGCCCAGCGCAGCTATCATCCCCACGCTTAGCAGTTAAGGGTTCGGGCTTTGACTTCAGGCTGACTTGCTCTGCCATGTATCAAGGGCCTGAACTTGGACAAGGTACTCATCATCAGAATCCTTAAGTCTCCTGACCTTTAGGAAATGAGGATAACAACAATACCCAGCCCAGAATTGTTGGGGAATTTAAATGAAATGATCCATGTAAGAGCCCCTGAAACCGTGCTTGGAAGCTACTCAGTATTCAATAAACCTCACCTAGCACAACCATCTTCCCGTGAGGCGCCCAGTGCAATTCTGGGTCAGCTGACGTTCTCTCCTAGCACGGTTAACATTCTTAGGTAATTGTTTTGTCTCTCTTTCAACTCAGCTCTAAGCTCCGTAATGGCAAGGATTGAGTCTTCTTCTCATATGACATGAATAAACGACTAATAAAACACTGAGAATACATGATTATATATGAGTATTAAGAGCTATTTAATAATGACTCTACGTGAGTGTTAATATATATTGTTATTAAATACGAAATGTGCTATTTCTTTAGAGATCATCTATGAGAAAAAGAAACATTAACATGTATAGGTTTAAGTCAGCAAAAAAATCAATAATCAAAGGAATCGGCTACCACAGTATTCCGATATATAACAATGAATTTTATTTTTAAGTACCTCTCAAGTCTTCTCTTAGAAAGTAACATACATGAGCACTTCTTGATCTTAAAAAGATTCACTTTTGCTACTCAGCAATTTATTTTCCATGGTTTTGCAAGCCAGAGATATTTGTTCCTCAAAACAAAGAAGCCACCCAATAGTTTCAGAACTGTGACTCAAGTCTTTTCAGAGGAAGCGCTTGAAAAAACATCTCTACCCGCCTGCATTGACATCTAAGACTGCTCATTTATGAGAAAGACAAAGAGCATGTGTCAGAATACTGAACCCACTCATTCACAAGTAGGAAGAGGAGACTCCAATGTTTCCCTTTGGGGTTGAATTTTTAAAAAAAAATTAAAAGCAATGATGTGGTCCCTCTCTACCGGTTCTACTAGCTGCAGGGAAATTACTCTTCCTTTAGCAAGAAAACAGATCGTCCTCCATTTTTGAAGGTGAACTGGAGTGAGAACAACAATTCTGATTTTATTTCAGTATTTCAAATGGTGTTAATCTGACTCAAATTTCTCAACCCCCTTGAGTTCCAGATGAGGGCAGAGGGCCCCTCCTCTGTTCCCCTCTGGGAGGGGGGTACAGCAGGGTACCTGGGCTCCGTAGACGCGCTGCATCGCCTGCAGCAGCTGGTTGGTGTAGTCCGTGAGGGTGCCAGCATCTTCTTCAAACACGCTCAGTAAAGAGCGAGTCTGCAAGGAAAGAAGAAAAGAGGTCAATTTCATTTCTAAGTGGAAAAGTTATAAAGGAGGTTGAAAACACACACACAGAAATGGGGGGAGAAGAGGGCTGTTCCCCGGTTTTATTTTTATTGGTGCTGGTACAAGTTGATTCCTACAGCTTTAACTTAGGACTCATTTTCTAAACCTTTAGACTACAGAATAGGGACAAATAATACAATTTGAGTACTGCGGCTAGAAAAGGAAAGCCAGTTTTTAAAAGATTAAGACTCGGGGCATATTATCTCTCTCAACTTTAGCTTCTACCTAAGCACCAGTTACGTCCACCCAATAAAAGACAGGGTTAAAAGGGCAGCCTCTCCCTTCAAGTCGATAAACTAAACACCATGCTAGCCCTGCCTGCATACCGGGGCGTGGACACCCAGCACTGCATCCTCCCAGCAGCTCACCATCTGCCTGGGTCTGCCGTCTTGCACATCTTGCACGAGTGTGTCATTCTTTCCTCCTACAGTACTACAGTCAACTTCCTTGTCTTTCATCATATAGTATCCAACCAATTTTCAAATTCACGGCTAGAAAATGTTGTGTACCCTGTGTCCACCAGTGTTAGATCTGGGCACAAAACTCAAATAGCGACTTAGTGAGGATTCTAGTCCAGTTAACTACTTAGGGCTCCGAGAGCAGTGGCAGTGTCGTTAGGTGAAAGGCATCTCCCATCTGACACGCGATGAGCACTAAGGAAATACTGATATATTGGGTAGTGTCTGAAGAAGTAGCAAGGCATCACCGAAGACACCGTATCTACTCAAGGGACTTTTGTTAATGTGCCCAGCACAGTGGGAATTTAAAATACTGAGTTAGTGATAAGAAGATAAATGCCTTTAGGAGGTGATACCAAAACACTTTACAAAGAATAATTAATTCATTAAAACTTGTTATTTCTTTTTCTAACCTACCTCAGGTAAGAGAGCAATAACTGACCCCAAAGCACCTCCATCAGCTTAATCAGGAACCTGGGCCTTTGGATTGCTCGTTCCACCCCTGATTTTGTTCCACAAATTCCGGTGTGCTTCACAGCAGCACACACTTACCCTGCCTTTGCCCCAGGTCATCCTTAAAGCTAAAAATACCTGCTCTGAGACCACTGTACTCTTTGGTACCAATCCTCATCCGCAGGACTAGAACGCCATGAGTAAGGAAAACGTAAGAGAGGTTTTTAAAAATCTCTCAGTGGGAATAAAACATCACACGGTGCATACAGCGTGTAACTTGTGGGTTAGAATGGAGTTCTTCAAACTTTTACAATTCAAATCCATAGCACAAAACGTATTTTACCAAACAATATCATTAGTGTGCGTACATAATGATTTTTTTCCTACTCTGTCCTGTTCCATTTGTAAACAAAAATCACAGTTGTGACCCACATAATAATCCATTAATGGATGTCAATTCATTAATAGATGAAAAACACTGGCTTAGAATTCTTCACTCCATCTCTGTGAAATACACTCTATGTGGGGGAAAAAACAACATTGTTACAAGACATGCTCAGAACCTACCCTGGGCGGTCTACCAGTCTCTGTCTTTTCATTTAGGCATGCACCTCTGCCTTCACCCAGCATCCGATGAAACCCCGGGCTGGGAGTTGAGGCTCAGGGGTGATGGGGACCAACTCTACATTCTCCAGAGGCTTAGTCTGTTGGCACCTCTCAAAGAATCTGGGATCACCTTGGGGCCCTGTCAGTCCTGGATCCAAATTTGTAGAGTTAATGAGATAATGAATGTACATGAAGTGCCTGCCAGTGCCTGACACACAGTGACAGCAAATGATATTGATTATACAGAAGATAATGCACCTTCACTGATGTATTCTGGCTGCTCAGGGCTTTACATGCACGATTTCAGCTGAACACGACGGCAGCGCTGTCATCCACGCGGCTATGGGGAAGTGCCATCTAAGGGTGCAGGACCCTTCCCTACCCACGGTGCCAGGACTGTGCGAGTCCACCAATCTTACGGTTCTGTTACCTTTCTGTGCTACAGCTAATATGTCTAGGAGAATGGGAAGGAGAGGGATGCAACTGGATCGAGAATATTTAACTCCTTTGCTACTACTGATATCCATTTAGTGGAGTGCTCTTCATGGTTTTTAATACTCTGAGGAATAAAACAGAAAGGATAAAAGAGAGGTAAGATGAAAAGGGAGGACTTGTGTAAATGTCCTCCACAAAGAAAGCAGACAGAAAACTAAAACTACCCTTTACTCTGTACCTGTGTGTCAGATGCTGTGCTGAGCACTAAGTATTTGTTACCTCATTTAATACTCCCAACAACTTTATGAGACAGACACCATGGTTACATTAAGCCTATTTTATAGATAATGAAACTGAAGTTAATCAAGGCTAGGACACTTGTTCAGCCTCCCATAGCTGGGAAGCAGCTGGGCAGGATGTAAAGCCCAGCCTGGCCTGCTGCCGGCAAAGGCCAAGCCTCCCCCGCTGCAGGAGGCTGCGTCCGCTCCCCAGCAGGGTGCGCGACCAGTGGGCATGCCCTTTGGTCCAAGGCCCACAGGCCCGCCTGGAGGCAGGATAAAGGCTGCCTGGAGCTGGCTTCTCTTTGGTCATCTACAGTCATGCTCTCACCTATAATAACTGCCAAAGAACCACATTGCAGATGTTGTTTTTTTCTTTATTTATACCTTGGACATATTTACCATAACACCCATTAAAACTAAAAGGAAAACTCCAATCTTCCCTTTTTAATTTAACTAGGTCATGATCTCGCCTGCAAAAAACAAATCCCCACCTATCTCAGACACTGTTTTGATTTTAAGGCAGGACAGTACGCAGCCAGGAAAATTCCTTGACAAGTGGAATGGGGAAACTGAGGCAGGTGGCTGATTCAAACCGGCCCCATCCAACACCCTGGCTTACCTGCCCTTGCGTGACCACTACCTTAAGCCCTCCAGACAATGACGTTCCGAAGTTCTGGTCGGCATCAGATAACCTTAGGAACAAAGCCTCGGGTCTGTTGACCACAGACAGAGTTTTAGTCAAACTAGAGATAACATCTAGGCCTCAGTTGTACTTCAGCTCCAGGCCCAGGAAAGCAGCAAAACCAGACTAAGCAACACGCTGGCTGACGTCAGGACCAGATGCAATGACTAATGCCCCCTAACCTAGCGCTGGCCAACCGCTAGAGACCACAACCCTGAAAGGACACACCTGGAAAGCCGATGAACAGTCTCTTGAGATCCTCCCCTGAGACCTCCCCTAAAATTCCCACTTTTATAAAACACTTAAAAACCCTTAAGGCAAAGGACCCAGTGCATGCTGTCCCCTGCGCCTCCGTGGCCCACTTCTTTCCTCAGGCATATAACTTTGCTTCCCCTCTCCTACGCTCTAAAGGCCTTTCTGCTGCTCCTGTAACTTGTTTCCTGAGTCAACACAGCCCAGCCAGCTCACTTCTCCTGCCTCGGGGACTCTCTTTCTAAAAGGCTAAGTCAACTTCTTGCGCTAGAGTTCTTGGCTCTGAATTCTTCCTTTGCTGAACTCAGGAACCAAGGTCTAACACTGCCCTTAGCAACATCACTTATCAGCTTCATATCTGCTTAAACTTTACGTTTGGAACAAGAGGAATGTTCTGAGACATAAGGAAGGAATGAGACCAATGACCAGGCAAAGGTGCACCAGTTCAAAAACTCTACAAAAAAGTCAGAAAGTGACTGGTCCATATCACTTATAAAGACAGTAACAGCTATCACTTATGGAGTTACTACGATATGGAGGCATGAAGACACTTTACATATGCTACCTGTTCTTCATAAGAATTCCATTAAGTACCTATTTTGATTCTAATTTTAGAGATGGCAAATCACAAGCTAAAAGAGGTTGAGTAACTTCTTAAGGTAACGGTGGCAGAATCAGGATCTGAATTTTATCCTTTTTCTACTATCCTACACTCTTGCCTGGCTAGAAACACAAAACCAAACACCCTATGGGGACAGCCTCAGCTCCACGTCATCCCTCTCTCTTAAAGAAACTGGGTGCTACCTAACTAAATAGTCCTAGACATTTTTTACTCAAGAATAGTCATCTAATTATAGAATGGTACAACTGTAATAGCTCTGATTGTAAAATACGTATATTTAAGTTATATGTAAGTATTTTATAATATAAAAACTATTAAAGGTCTTCTACCTATAATTTGGCAGAGGGAGAGAAATGTCTCAGTAGAGCCAAGTCTACTAAAAGAAAAAATGTACTCTAAACAAAGAGAACAGCAGATATAAACTTCTCCATCATGAAGGCATCACCACCAGGCTGTGTTTTGAAATGTCCTGCTTGACTGAGAGGCCTGGTTTGGTCAGAGAGGGCCATTCCCAGCTTGACTACTAACTGCATAATCTCAGAACTAAGTCTTTTATCTCTCTGTGCTTCAGTTATGCCAACTGCAAAGGAAACAAACAAAAAAATCAAAACCAAACAGCAAGCAATAGTGCTTTTGTCGTCAGCTTATCTCAAAAGCAGACAACTTACACAAAAGAGAGTAAGTGACCAAATATGAGCTGCAGCAGCTCAAAGCTACATTTGTGTCCCTATCACAGCAGCATCCGCACTGCACTGGAACGGCCGCTTTCCTTATCTGTCTCCGGGAACAGACTGTGAGCCAGTGGAGGGCAGGCACGCCTGTCTCCTTTGCCACGACTTGCCAGCATCTAGCAGTGCTGGGTGAGCAGCAGAGGCTCACTCGCAATCAGCAACGGAGACAAGTATCTCCATCCCTAAAACTCCACCTCGTATTTCAGAGGTAACCAGAAATAACACGTGTCCACACATAAACTGATCATATAAGACAACATGCAGGACTAAAAAGGAAGAAATAAATAGATGTGTTTAAGGTCAGGCGACTGCTTTTCAGCTCTTCCTGGGTCACTAAGTTCAAATACAAAAGCTTTTGTGCTTATTTAATGAAACCTATGCAACCAGGTTACTGGAGCAACCCTCATAACTACAGGACATAAAACTAGAGGAAGCAAACAATGGGTGGTTTCTTAGGACCTTTTCCTTTTAGTGAAATGGCATTTTAGGTCGCCGATGATAGAAGAGTCAGGTGGCAGGCAGCTGGGCTGACTTGAACAATACGGCAAAATTGCCGGGGTCCCAGTCCTAACTCTGTCACTTGATAGTGTGTGATCTTGGGCAAGTCATTCAACTTCTCTGTTCCCTGGAAATTCTAATAGAGCACCTACCTCAAAAGATTGCTGGGAGGATTGAGTGAATAAGTAAAGCTAAGTAAAGCATTTAGAACAGGGTGTGGCTCATAGAATGCATGTGGGATACAGGTGTTTGCTGTTGTTTTTATTCTTTACACATGAAATGACAGAGCTGGATTAGATGTCTTCCAGTTCCAAGTCTCTGGAGTCTCCTTGGCAGTGAAGCTGCAACAGGCACGTTCCCATACAACAGTGTTAAGTAAATAGGCTCTGATGATTACCAAAGACCTCTTGAAAGTTAGCATCCATTCAGCAGCCTTACCAAGATATCTAATAGGGTGACATGCAAGGTTCAAAAGCAATGACAAATTCCATTCCATTACATTAAGAGAAACACTAAAGAGGAATGACAATGCCTCTAAACCTCCTCTTCCACATATAAGCTCAGAGTTACAAACCGTGCTGATAGGATAAAATTTTAAGCTTCGAAAGCCCCTTCAAGATTACCTGCGCCATGTCTCTCATTCTGCAGATGAGAATAGTGATCCAGGATGGGGATAAGTGACTTGCTCAAATCACATGATAAGTAAGCATTAGAAGCCGCATTAGGACCCAGGTCTCCTGACTTGCCAGGCCTCTTTCTACTTCCTTCGAGCTAAGCAAATCCAGTGACCCACTCAGAAGTAATGCATATGCATCTACGTGAGAGCCAGAAATTGAAGTGACTTATCTGTCGGTGAGGACTGCATGGAAAATCTGTGCGATCTCCCTCACCTGGCTCAACCATCACTGAGCTCAGTTAGGAAAGCGATACACTTTTGCACCTCAGTTTCTACAACTTCAAAGCAAGTGGAAATCCTCGTTCAAAATGTTATTGTTAGAAATTCTACATTATTATCATCCATCCCACACAATATGTTTAAGAATGGATGAAATGACTTCTACCAAGGGCTGTGGTACCATAACACGCCAAATGTCTAGAGACTTCAAAGAGGCCTCTGAAAAGTCAATCAGACCAGCAGATGCCAATTAGAAAAAAACAAAACAAGACCAAAAACACCCCCAAATCACCCCTTGCTTACAATTCATTACAAAGAAATGGGCACAAGGCAACTAAGCCCACAGCCCTTTTGATTACTTCTTCTGAACTGGAGAGATGCAGAGTAGCTGCAGGTAGGCCCAAAGGATCATCCCGGGACTACAGTCCACGAAGAAGAAAAAGGAAAGGAACCGAAAAGAGAAGAGAAACTGTGCAAGGAAAAAGAGGTTAATCTCATTCTTATTTTCCAAGGGTTGAGACACCAGGGAATAAGAAGACTTATTTAAATATCCCAGGGACGCAGCACCAGGAAAACAGATATGGAGCTGGGGAAATGTTAATAGAGAACAAAAGTTCCCCGGGGACAGGCGCACTGAATTATGAACTAATGTCATTCTGCACTCATTTGCAATGTGTGCACCCCCAGCTTTCACCTGCAGAGCTCAAAGGACTTGCCTCTCATCTCTGAGGGCGCTAATGAAGCTCTGCCGACAAATGGGGCTCGTTTGTTAATTTTCTCTTCGCAGATGAGAAAACAGTGCCAAAGGGAGGCCTGGTACCGCTGGGACAGAGATCCGGGCTCTGCCTCCCATTCTGGCCCTAAATCCACCAGGTCCCACGACAACGTAACAGTAGCAGTAATAATAATACAGATGACTCCTTTCTTACTTACAATGCATCAGGCATTGTCTCTAACAACTTTACAGGCATTTGCTTATTTAATTCTAACACCCCTAAGAGGCAGGTATGATGATTATCCCTATTCCACAGATGACAAAACTGAGGCACAAAAAGGTTAAGTTCTTCGCCCGCAGCGCTCAGCAAGTAAGTGGTGGAGCCCGAGCTTAGGCCGGGCAGCCTCAGTTGCAGCCGACTTTTGGAAAGGGGTCAGAACACAAAGGCTCTGGCCACGGGGGGCTTGCCCGGGCTCTCCGGCTCCGCCAGAGGAACCCCGCTTCCCGGGAAGCCCGGGCTCGGGGCGTGGGGCCGGGCCTGCCCCCTCCTCGTCCCCGAGAGGACCCCAGCACTCCCTGCCTCCACCCCGGGCGGGCTGGAGGGGCCTCCCTGGCCTCAGCCCTCCGGAGAGAGGGATCGGGGAGGCAGGAGGTACCTGGGGGCTGTCCTGCAACGCCTCCTCCAGCAGCAGCTTGTCCACGGCGGGCATGGTGGACTGAGGGCCGGGTGCGAACGACTGAGGGGAGCACGCGCGGCCGTTGGAGCTGCTCCCTGATCTGGCTCCGGAGACAGGCGGACGCTCTGTGCCGCGAACGCCCCGCGCGCCCACGCCTAGCCATCTGCCGCCACCGCCCCCTCCCGCCCCCTCCGGCCCCCTCCCGCCCCCAGCCCAGCCCTCCGAGGAGCCGGATCAACAGGAAGTGTGGCGAGCGCCCGGCCTGGTACCGGAAGTGTGGCGCCCGCTTCCGCCGCGCCCACGCCTCAAGGGATGCGGCAGACCCTCCGGGACCCTCGCAGCTTCTTGACCGCCTGGAGTGTTAATATCCGCGCTCAAGGGCCTGGTACTTGTGCTGGTCAGTGCATACAAAGCCCAAGAAGAGAAACTCGAGGGCGGAGAGATAAGGTTTTATCTGCTTGTGGGTACCCAGAAAACTTTTGAACCGGAGCTAGGCGCGAACAGATTTTGCTGCCGTGACTCTTGCCATTTGTTTTAAGGGAAGGAAAACGCAACATTTTTTCTAGACAAATCGCAGTGCACCTCAAATAACTCAGAGAACAGAGCGGTCACCTGGTTTTAAGAAAAACCGGATCACTAAATCATGTGTGATATTCAGACGTAACCATTTTGGAAACCACAGCAATCTGGTTTGAGCAATAGGGTTAGGTCTTGTCGTCATGGTGTATGTTTAGTCATTTTAGAAAATTTCATAATCAGGTTTTTAGCATTGGAAAGTTTAGGTGTTCCAGTTCAGTGTTGTCATGTATAAATAAATTTTTTAAAAAGGGACCCAGAAAGTGAAGTGATTTGATCAAACAGCTAAGGAAAGCTAGAGGAAGGAGAGGAAGAAAGAAGAGATGGAGCCACGAGGGAAGACTGGCAAATTGAACTTGACGTTTTTCTTTATACCAAAGGCGAGGGTTTCTGAGTATCTTCTTTAGGAATCCATAGGATATGTCCAATAGAACACATGCCACCAAAATCAACAGGCAGAATATGATAATATCATACACATTCTCTGTTCTACAAAAATGTCCAGGTGTATTAAGTTACAGTCTAACTTGTAAACACCTCTGAAAGTCTGATCATGTGCTCCCAGACCCCTGGAAAACTCCAAGGCCATCATGTCTAGTGAGCTCGAGCCAGCACCAGCCTTTCCTGAGCTATTGTATGGCCTCGATGGGGAAATCATCCAGCAGCCTTCTCCCCACTAGATTCTTCCTTCTGGCTGTGTAGAATAACGCTCACATCACGTATTTTCCTTTTCCTGTACTTTCTGTCAAATACCATTCAGGTAATTTTGCCTCGTACACGCTCCCAACTCTCTCCTCACTGAAATCCTCTTCCACAAAGTCAAACTCAAACTCCTTCCTTCCCCCTTCCTGGCCCCAAAGATCACTCCCTCCTCTGAACCGCCATCACCTTGATTGTCATCCAACAGGTCTTACCCAGGGACACTTTTTCTGTCCTTAGGTCTTACTCCCTCTGTAAATCGTAAGCCTCTGGGGGGCAAAGCATATCACATCCCTTTATTGTGAATGTGGAGTCACGTGGTAACAAATACATGAATGCTATTTGTGATGTGTTCGCCTATTCCAACTGTTCCAATTAATTAAGAGAAATTTCCCTCAAACTTCCATCTTGCTTTGTTCCTACCCTTCCATCCAGTTAGAGACACAGTGGTTATTAATCACCTACCAGGTAAACAACAGTGATCCTGATGACGATTAAGAATAGTATTATTGTACCAAGGGAAAGAAATGCATACATTTTAATTTGAAAATAAATATAAAACAGAGAATTCGGAACCCTGGAAAGGTTTCAGGAGTCCCCTTGGGAATCACATTTTTCATGGGCCACCTTATCTCTTAATTAAAGTTACTTTCCCTCAAACACCAGTATTTGAAACTGTTTAAAACGTTTTTTTCCACAATGCCATTACTTTTTTTACATCTTATTGCTACATAATGAGCTAAACAGCCTTAGTGGGATTTTTTTTTTTGACACTTAAGTATCACTTACAACATTGTTTTTATGGGCAAATGGATCCCAAATTCAAAACAACTAAGTTACAAAAACCAACTCCAAGACTACAATGGATTTGCAATGGTTAATTTCATTAATTTCATTCATTAATTCTTCCAATCATTCATAAATATAGACTGCTCAATGTTAATAAGCACTGCGTCTCCTACTTATTTTACTGCCTTTGTTATGACTCATTTAAATTTTGAGGCCAATTATCTTCCTCTTCAACAGATAACCTGTGAAAAGCTATGTAAGAGGAATTTTATATAAGCATGAGATTTTGTTTTTTAGTTCCATTAAAAAATATCCGTCCCTATTAAACTATTATGAGGGTGGATTTCAAACTTTCACCCAACTGTATCTGAAATTGCTGGACAGCTGTAAGGTTTGTAACAGGAAGTACAAAGACAGGCAATTTAGAGCTGCCACATCCTTTAGGGAGAGAAAGGATGAGCTCTATGGAGCCATAACCTTTTACCCATTGATGACCAACAGGGAAAAGGACACGAGCTATTTCTGTAGGCACCTATCTATGTGTCTTGTATTAACCACGACTTTTTCAGTTGCAAATAGAAACCTAACTTCAATTACCTTAAAGAAAACATCAAAATCTGGAAGAGACTGAGAGAGATTCTGTATTTCTTTCTTTTTTTTTAGATTCTGTATTTCTTATATTATTTGTGTACTGATGAGACTGACCCTGTAGAGTGAGTGGTAGTGGGTGGGTTGGAGTTGAAGATACAAGAGAGTGAAGTGACCATTGCAAGAACATAGTCCTGGGTACACACACACACACACACACACACACAAGGGCGGGGAGTAGGATCCAAATTGCATATGAAGGGAACAGAGGCAGTAACAGTGCATTCAGATTGATACATGTAACAGTAGGTTGGTAGATTACATGGAGGAGGATGAAGGCGTTCTTTTTCTGATTGCTTTTATTTTCCCAGTAAAATAAGAAACGAGGTCATCAGCTCAAAGCCATGATGGTGAGAGGGTGTTGGAACTTTGAGAAGAGAGGAAGGGGTAAGGTAAAGTCTTGTAGCATGAGAAGACGAGGCATAAGTAGTGGTATCCCCATTTTACAGATACTGAAACTGAGGCTCAAACAAATGACATGACAGAGACAGAGACAAGGTTCCAAAGGCCGGGGCTGTGCCTACCACACCCCAAAGAGAAAAGAGAGGTCAGCTAAGGCTAGTTGACTCAAGGCTCTCTCACCCCTTTTCCTCCCAGGGGCCTACATAGTGTCTGATCTCAGGACATGCTTTTAAAATGGTTGTTGACTGTTCCCGTTTTCTCCACCTAAGACTCCTGTGACATCAGGCTGTTGCTTCACTCACTGTCATTTCATCTCCTTTGTCTCCCTACAGCCTATCCGTGGAACTAAGAGAGCAAACTGAAGACCCCCAAGGAGGCGTATAGTCCTTCAGATCTGAGAGACCACCATGGAAAACAGTAAAGAGAAGAAAAGAAAAGAGCCTTGTCAGTTCCGAGTATTCATCTCCCGGTAGGGACTGACCTGTGACTTTCATTCAAGATACAAATTTGATCATGACACTGCTGTTTAAAACCCTTTGGTGATAACAGGAGCAAAAACGATAATAGCGAACAGGCACTTTCTGAGCTACTACGATGGGCCAGGAACCATGCCTGCATTTCACCTGCATTAATACATTACTTGCCTTGTCTCCTTGGCTGTTTGCTGTTCTAATCCCTATTTTAAAGATGAGGAAGCTGAGGCCTAGGAAGGTTAAAACCTGCCCACAGTTAGCTAATTTCAGAGGTGGCATTCAAACGCAGGCCGTTGGGCTCTAGAAGACATTCTTACCCAACCTCTTCAGAGGCTCCCTGTTGCTTAGAGTGTCCCACCTGTATCCTTCAGCAGGGACACAAGCCGCCCGCATGATCTAGCCCTGATTCATCTCCTGCCGTGACCCTTTGCATACCTACCATCTGAAGGTCATTGTAGTCATCGAAAATGTTCTGTTGGGCGTGCCTGTGTCCATGCAGACATTGTCTCCCTCAGCCCCAAACGCCCTCCCCCCGCTGAGCCACCGGACAGACTCATCTCCTGGAGCTCAGCTAAATATCACTCCTGTGGTCAGTGAAATTCAGTTCAGCATGTATTAATTAAGCATGTACTTTGTTCCAAACCCCAAGCCCAAGGCACTGACAGTTTAATAATGTAAAAGAGACATCGGTTTCCTGCCTTCCAGGAAGCTTCCGGTCATTAAAGAGATGAGCGTTCTGATAAGGGATGTACAGGCTGCAGAGAGCATGTGGTAGAAGGCCAAGGTTGACATTTCTGGGAATCAGGACAGGTGCGTGGATGAGAAACGTGCCCACTGAAATGTGCGTCAGTCAGTCTCCCTTGTAGCTGTTGCCATGTCTTTATGTTTGTGGCTCTGTCTGCTGCTAATGATAAGCCATTCTTGCAAGTAAATATGTCAATATTAGCACATTTATATGTGTAGTATACTTTATAAGTCTTTTGAGCAGTACTCCAAGAAATAGCAAGTTTGGGGAGAACAATGCATCCTTAATTAGCAATTTCAACATAAGGTCCTGTGCTTAGTCAGGCTGGCTAGAAGAGCTGAATGTTACCACTGTGGGGAAGCTGGAAAGTCAATCTTTCATCTGGCTCGGCGTGCCCTGCTAAAAACCAAGGCTTCCTCTCATATACTGCTGGTGGGAATGTAACATGGCGCTGCCACTGTGGAAAATAGTCTGGCAGCTACTCAAGATGTGACACACAGAGTTATCGTGTGACCCAGCAAGTCACTCCTAGCGTGGACCAAAGAGAATCGAAAACATCTGTCCACACAAAAATGTGAACATGAATGTTCACAGTAGCATTATTCATAACAGCCAAAAAGTGGGGGGAAATGCAAATGTCCATCAGCCCCAGATGGTTTAACAAAAATGGAATTATGGTATAACCACACAGTGGAATGTTGTTATTATTATTATTATTATTTGGCAATAAAAGGAATGAAGTACTTATGCATGCTACAATGTGGATGAACCCTGAAAACAATATGTTAAGTAAAAGAAGCCAGACACAAA